TAGTGGTTTCTAATTTATATTTAATATATACGTAATATATACTTTATAGATAATTAATATTTTGCAAATGCAAACCACGATGTACTATCTTTAGTCTAAAGGCAGTATAACACCAATCGTGGTCCGCATTTGCAAAATATTAATGCGTTTTGAAACCTATAAAAAGAAAATGTCGCAACCTTTTAGTGAGCGAGTGTACAGCCGTTAAACTGCGCGCCGATTAAATGTTCGAACTTGAAACGCAATTATTAGCTGAGGCTGGAATAGAAATATCATATTGATCTTTCTAATCAATCGATGCTTATAAGCATCTTAAAATACTGAAAAGAACTTATTGCGAAAAATTTTAAGACGCCCGCCCCGGAAATCCCAGGTTCATATCCTGGCTGAGGTAATATTTTTCGCAATAAGTTCTTTTCAGTATTTTAAGATGCTTATAAGCATCGATTGATTAGAAAGATCAATATGATATTTCTATTCCAGCCTCAGCTAATAATTGCGTTTCAAGTCCAAACATTTAATCGGCGCGCAGTTTAACGGCTGTACATGAATTTCAGAAAAATTCATGTAGAATTTATTAGACATCTAAGATCCAGCCGTGACCGTAAAGGCGCTCTCGAAAGTAGTTGTGTTATACTTTTTACTTATATTTAATAAATACTTCAATGCAATATTCTTCAATATGTTAGTTAGAATATCAACAGCGTATGCTTTCAAATTTACTAATAACCGAAAAATATAATTATATAATAATAAATATAATAAAAGTACGAAATATGCAAAACGCGAAACGTGCAAACGCAACACACTATACGAAAAGCGAAACGTGTAAAACACACACACATAACTCACACACCCATAATACAACGCGAAATGCGCAAACTGAATACAAAGTACGTGAGGAACGTTAAACGTAACACTCAATATGCAACACATGCCACTAGCACGTCAAATAAAAAAAAATATATCTGGACTCGACATTGTTTCTAGAGATTAATTATGACATGTCTCGTATTTATCTCTGTTCTTAGAATTCTTTGCAGCGCATAAGAAGAAGAATATACAAATAGAAGGTATAAAAAGAGATATTTTTAAAGGATTTTAATTTGTTTTCCTTAGAAATTGTATGTCGACACTTTTTATTGTGTAATAACATTTTAATTAATATGTTATGTTGAAAATATTTACTATGATTTTGATGTAATATATTTTTTTTAATGCTTAATTTTGTCCTTCTTATAAAATATTTAAAATTCTCTAATTCAATAATTATGAAATTTTATGATAATGAAACGTAACATAAAACGGCATAAGCATAGAGAAATGGAATGATTTTTTATAAATTCTTATTTATGAAATAATAGACGATAAAATGACTTAAGGCAATGATAAACCGGATTTTCATCTAAAAGTATTAAGGTTAGAATTGACATGCAGATAAACATTTAATTCCAAGAAACTTCGTGTGCATTTTGTCTTCCAATTATTTAATCATTAAATTATTTATGAGATTCCTTTCTTACTTAAATGTTTAGTATATATTTATTATTATTTTTTGTATTTTTCATTATATATTACTGATCGAATTCAATCGAGCACGCATATATAATCATCAGCTCATAAAAGATTCTTTATTAACGTATGATCGATTGCGATTCGATCAAACATTAATAATCAGTTCGTAAAAGATTCTGTGTTAAAGATAATTTATGTTTTTATGTTGTTTGATATATAATTATAACGATGAATAGTTCTGTAAAAAATCGAAAAATAGAGAGCTTTATTAACATATCTAAACTTATTTGCATATAAATGAGTTTGTGACTTGGATGCAGTCTAACTAAAACTCTATTGGGATGATTTTCCGATATTTTGTATTTTTTCAATCTGGAATATAATTTAAAACTTCGTAGACAGATGTCAAATCAAATAGTTTCACAAGTTATTTTTAATGATTTTCAAAGATTTTAATTAATTTCATCTAACAAAAGAAAAATTGTAGTAAAAACATTAATCATTGCAAACAGAATTAACCAGTTTTTGGTTTTTTAATATGTATAAAATACGTCATTTAACGTTCTTATTTCTTTATTTGATTTCAGATAATATTTGAAATTATATTTGGATGTATATATGTATATTTTATAGAAGACAGTCATTTAAAACAATTTTGAGAGCAATCCGCAGTCTTAGATAAATCCGTAAAATTTTAAGATACGAATAACTAGGAGTGATCGCCTATCGCCAAAAAGTTTTGTTCTAATTTTAATTTATTTGCTATAATAAATGTAACATCATCGTAGGATGTTTCTTTAAAATAGATGAAGTTGTTTCACAAGGAAATATTATACTATATTCATGAGAATTACTGTCTGAATGAACGCTCCTAACTTAAAACTTTAACTGGTTATGAGAACATTTACATAACGCATTGTTAATTAGACATATATATATATATTCGAATACATATTTATTGACTTTGAAAGGATAATTTAGATAGATAGATTACGATAGATTGCAGAGTCAACTTTTTTCCTTTTGCAATCAAAGACATGCAAGTGTTATATTGCCGGGGCTGCCGGGTGTATTCGTCACCTTAGGTCATTTTTTTTATCTCGTGCTAAATGTATAAATAAGATGCACATTCAATCGATCGTTCAGTGCTTTACGAGTTAACGTACAGAAACAGAAGAAACAATGGCTCGATTATGTTACATTGTGACGATCATGGGTATTGCGTTGATGTGCGGAGTTCTGGCGGAAGAAGTAGAACTCTACTCCAGTCGTTTTGACGATATTGACGCCGATAGTATCCTTCAGAACGATAGATTGCGTGATCAGTACTACAATTGTTTTATGGGATCGGCACCTTGTATAACAGCAGATGCGAGGTTCTTTAAAGGTATAATTATACACAAAATATTTCAACGAATAAATTTTTATGACAGATTAACTGGTTTATAGAAATCAAGTATTCCTCAACAGTCTATTTAGTAATTTTTAAATAATTAATAATTGATGTGTGTAAGTAAGAAACTTCCGGCGACAATCATAAATAATAAGAAAATGATCAAATAAATAATATTTCTCAGTTAATTTCGAGAGAACATGTTTTCGAAGATAGGGAAATATAATTTCAAAAATTAAAAAATTGTGAAAATATATTGCAATAATATATTTAGAACTTGTCCTAAAAACTGACACTAAATTGCTCAAAAGTTGTCCAAACGTTATAATATAATATAATAGTAAAAATAGATATCCTATATACGCAAGAAATATTACGTATTCGAGATTGTAATCAGAGACTTTTGCATCGTTGAATAAACTTTCTAATTTCAACAATATGACGAAGGAATTAGAAACCCTTGATCTTATTTTTTGTAAAAATTGCGTAGATATCGGCTTGCCAAATACTCTTTGTTTCAAACTTAATTTTTCAATATTTTATACATACCTACTTTTGTTAATTATAACAAAAGAGAAAAATGAAGAAAGAAAAAGAAAAAAGAGAATTTTATTCTTATTAGAAATTAAAATCAATATGTCAAGAGTTTTTTCTTGATTTGATTTCAGAGATTTTTAGCGACGCTCTCCAATCTAAATGTAAAAGATGTACTGAAAAACAAAAGCAAATGATGGATTCACTAGTGGATTACTTTACAAAAAATAAACCTGAGCAATGGGAGGCTCTCGTCAGGAAGTCTATTGAGGATCTAAAAAAGAAGAATGCTGAACGTTAACTGCTAACGACAATTACTGAAATAACCGATAAAGAGAACGCGGAAAGAATCGAAAATACTAATCATCTATAAAATTATTGAGTCTTCTATATTCGGAATCATTTCTTCAGAAGAAAGATGGATTTTCTATGATGGATGCTATAATTATTAGTGTAATGCTTGTATTGTAGTACTATGCTATGTAATAAAATGTAGAAATAAAATGTAGAAGTACAATTAATTTCAGTTTTGTTTCGTGAAAATTATAACCATTAATTTTTCCGATACAAAATATGTTACATTCGCAAGATTGCAAATGTTGCATATATTTGCTACTTTGCGAATGTTACATATATTTGCAACATCCTTGATAGATAAGTACACATAAAAAAGAATGAGATAGTAATTTTATGTAATAATTAAAATGCATTTTTTTGCATTTTTATAAACATATGATGTTATTAAAGCGTAGTGCATATGCAAACAATTATGTAACATTTATTACGTTGGATTTTTACTAATATTTGCATTTTTTATTATTTGTACCTTTATTTAATTTATGTTTACATGGATATTACTAAATTTTAGAAAATCATCTGTCTGAAACTCAAACTGGAGTAGAAAAATATCTAATTAACAAATATATGTGATATTTTCCGCGTATGTTTATGTGCAAGAGAGATATTCGACTTCTATTAAATTAGTTCAAAATTATGCATTATTTTATAAATGATTTAAAGCTTTTTATTTCTAATATCTGTAAAATTATCAAATTTCTTTTGTTGTAGACGCCAATAAATACAAGTAATTCAGAATATGAGAATAATACAGAAATGAAGAAAATCTAATATAAAACTTATATTTAAAAAACCTAATTTTTAAAGAGCGTACAGAAAATATATATAATTAATTTTTAATTCTCGTAATTATATACCTGCATGTTCAAAGTTAAGTAAATATTGCATGTTAGAACTGATTAAATCGACGAACTAATGACTTATAATAATACCGGAAAACAATAATTCTTCTTAGAAGATTTTATTATTAGGAAGCATCTAGCTGTTTGTAATTATAAAAATGACTGTAATTATATATTTACTGCGAAATTAATCGCACAATCATCACATATATTTAATTGTCAATTTTTAACTTAATTTTTCATGAAATATTAATTCTCGCTAGACTTTATTTAATCGATTGAAATTTCTTCAATAAAATTCAATTTTGCAAAATTTGAAGTACGTAATCTTGTTCAAAAATATTTATATGTAAGTGTGATATATAATATATGTATGATGTATAATACAGCATAATTTGTGAGTATATATGAATATATATATATCGCGTACACGTGCGTTTTATTTTATCACTCTGGCATTCGAGCAACGCACTATTAGTGCTATTGCGTCGTTATTTTATCCTCAGGCTTATTTTCAGGATAATTTCTTGTATTACATATGTATAATGGACGCACGCGCTAAAGATAGTGATATAATAGCGCTGATAGCGCGCTTCCACGAATGCCTTTATGAATAATGGTAGCATTCAAGGAGCGCGTTATCAGCTATTAGTCATTTTATCTTTAATTAGACGTAAAACAAGGACAAAATAATACAATGAGCAAATGATGATAGTACGCTTCTCAAACGCAGCAAAATGTTTCATATTTACCGCCGACTAATATTTATCGACATATCTTCGATAACGTGTACCTATTGTACACTTCTGTTCCCGTTACCATCTGCATTCTTTGACTCGATGCTTCCTACTTTTTGCGTTCCTGATCGCGAGGGCGCTAGCGTACTTCATTCGTATACATGGCTGATTGTGAGCTCCGGTCGCTCCGGTGAAGCGCATGATCATTTCATCCTTGTTCAACATTCGATAGGCAACAAGGATAAAATGCTATATCATGCGCTTTATGAAACTTACAATCAGCCGTATATACACGTCATACGCTTATACATGCGATACGAATTTCCGGCGCGCCAAGCGCCAACGCAATACAATTCGTTAAGGACGTACAATTAATTTATTGACGATACAGTCAATTTTATAAATTATTTGCACCTACCCAATCGCCGAGCATTTATCGCGCTCTCGAGGCACCTGACCGAGAGAAAACGACGAAATATGCAGAGATGATCCCGACTCCCAACTGCTCCCAACCCGTCGCGGCTCCTCGAGATCCCGGCTAATGGCACACGGCGGCGACGGCACTCGATATTTCACACGTCACGATAATCGGACGACACTCGCGATCACACTTCGCGTCCGCGATTGCCCTTTTCGGGCAATTAATGCGCGATACGGAACCGTAATACGGGAGACGGGACAATTTCGTACCTGCTCCGACCGCGTCCCGGTAACTGGAATGGCAAGTTCGAGAATCGCAATATCGCACGTTCAAAACTTCGAGAATCGCAAGCAGGTATCGAGGCCGCGAGCCAATCAGCGCTCGCGTCGTCACTCCGTCGCCTACCCGGCCCGCCAATCCCGCCATGACCTGCGGCAGTCCCGCCAACCTCTTTGGCTCGTCACGGCCAGAGTGTGCACTTCTTACCGCGATGGCTTCTTACGAGGTGTAGGCAAGGTGTATATTGGAAATGCAACCGAAACGAGCGCGTTGCTTCCGAATTCTTTACGAAAAGGCATTAAATATCTTTTCTTTTCCTTTTTTTTTTTAAATTAACGTCTCTTCGAAGAGAAGTTAGATGTACGTATTCATGCTCACTAGAGAAAATCTGAGAAAATTCAACGAGGCCCCATATTCGATAGCTTTAAGTTTCTGTCTCTTTTTTCTCGTTCTCTCTCTCTCTCTCTCTCTCTCTTTGTCTCTCTCTCTCTCTCTCTCTCTCTCTGTCTGTCTGTCTGTCTGTCTCTTTCTCTCTTGCTCCAGTTGCTCCTATATAGCCTATACTCCGATCTATTGCGCGCGTTCGATCGGCGAGAATCCAAGTCCGGCGTGTCTCCCTCCACATCTCCAGTTGTTCCGGTACAAAGTCTCGAACGTCAAAATCTTGCTGGACGAAACGCACGTCACGGTAGCGTGAAGTGTGTCACAACAAGGACGGGACGTACGGGAGCGGCGAAAAAACACCGAGGTGATTCCGTCGAGCGTCATTTTTACGTGCGGATCGTGAGCCAGAAACGGTTCCCGAGAAATTAACTGGCTAACTTTATGCATTTCGAGCTTTCTTTTTTATATTCGTGCCCTAACTTCGGATATCGAGCACTCGATCGCAGCTGATCGCAGCTATTTTCTTGTCGTTGAACGATTCTACAAGGCTAAAGTCTTCGCGATTACCTATCTATGGCGATCGACGCTTCATATGCACAATACATTACTTCTGTACAGCTTGCCATAACTTTCTGCATTACATTTCATGCGCATAAAATGTATGTTTATTTTTTTTACTTATCAGTAAACGCGCCACATATCATGTTGTTAGATGTTTCTTAACTGTTCTCTGGTGGGCTCAATGTATGCTCAACATTTAATGCAGACGATATAGCAGGTGTCTCTATATGGGGTATATAAGAAAATAAAATAGCAAACGTTTTTATTGCTTGATACAGGAATCCAGTAACGATATAGAAAAATGGCATTCCGTGAGCTAGTCGAAGGAGAATGTGGAGGTTCCAACTCCCTGATACGTCTCGCATCGCATTACGTGCAAGATCATGGCTTCAAGGAGGAAGGAATTCGTCGGCCGTTCAGTTCGTCGGAGGCTTTTCCAACACCGGACGCAGATCAATTGGTCCAACAATTTTTGGAGGAACCTGCTTGTCCACAGACGTTTCGAATGGACAATCTAATGCAGGAAATGAGGGAAATTGATCAGAATATTCATCCTCCAAAAGCTGGACCTGAGATCATAACGGAATTGAAGAATGACTTGGACAAAGCTTGGGATTCTTGCCTTAGGCCTCCAAACGTAATTTCATGAGATGTATAGCTGTATATATGATTACACTTGTTTTTGGCATTGTAAAAAAATTTAATTCTTGCAAATGAATTGCAGGAATTTCGTGCAAAAGACGATACATGGAATGCGTCTGCAGTTTTACCTGTTCAAGGGGAAGGCCAGCATCTCGACAATGTTCACGAATTTGGTCTAGATCCAAAATGGGCAGAAGATTTTCTAGAATGTAATACGGACTCTGTACAGGACAAAAATGATATTAACCAGACGGAAGATGAGGATCCAAATTTTGCATATTCAAAGTTCATGAAATTTATGGAACGACAAGGTGACATTCCAATAGAAAGCAATCAGACAGCGATCAATCTGAGAGGTACAAGCGAGGAATGGACAGAACAATTCATAGAAAATAATGCAGGCAGTCTCAATGATAATACAGTTTTGAATAAAGTAGAAGAAGAATTGGAAGCTGCGGGTACATGGATAGACGAGTTTGCAAAGGAAAATCCTACGACAGGTAATATTTTTAATTTATTTTTCTGAAAATAAGTTTATTTAGCTTGAAATACATGATTATTAATATAAGAATGACTGATATTTCAGAGGACAATATGAAGTCATTATGGAAGCGATTTGAAGACGAATGGGACAAAATCTCTGCAGATGGGATCTCCTCTATGCATCCGTGGGTATCAGAATTCGACACATATTATGATCCATTTAATAAGGAATATGATTTCTCTGAGACAAATCCAATGAAAGATTTGCCAAATGCTTTGGCAGAAGGCAAGAGACGACTAGAGGCGGGAGATTTACCGAGCGCTGTACTCTGTTTTGAAGCTGCCGCCCAACAGGATGAAAATAACATCGAAGCCTGGCTGCTCCTTGGCAAGACACAAGCTGAGAATGAGCAGGATCCTTTGGCCATCTCTGCTCTAAATCGTTGCCTGTGCTTGGATCCGTCTAACAGTGTCGCTCTCATGGCATTAGCAGCTTCTTACGCAAATGAGTCTTATCAAAAGCAAGCTTGCCTAACATTAAAGGAATGGTTACTAAAGAATGAAAAATACAAACATCTCGCTGGACCAGAATCTAATCTAAAAAAAGATGAACATCCAAATTTCAGCGTATCTACTTTATTATATGAGTAAGTAATTTTTAATCAGAAGTCATTTTTAATATTAAAAAACTTTTTTTACATGCCATTTCATTGTAGCAAAGTATACGATGAGGTCAAAGATTTATATATTGAAGCCGCGAGAATGAATCCTCGGGACGAAATTGATGCGGACGTACAGTGTGGATTAGGTATATTGTTTAATTTATCGAATGATTACAACAAAGCTGTGGATTGTTTTCAAGCAGCGTTGCACGTGCGTCCTGATGTAAGTGTAATCTATTTCTGTTGTAATGAATCGAACTAACACGCTCGAACGTATATTCTTGAAAGGATTCCAGATTGTGGAATAGATTGGGAGCCACTCTAGCTAATGGTCAACGATCAGCGGAAGCTGTGAACGCGTATCATCGTGCCTTAGAATTATCGCCTGGATTTATTAGAGCACGTTACAATCTGGGCATATCTTGCGTTAACCTTGCATCGTATAAGTAAATATAGATTTTCTCGTATATAATGCTCAAGCTATAAAAAAATGGCATTAATGAAACTATTGTGTTAAAACTATGTGTTATATTACAGAGAGGCAGGCGAGCATCTTTTGATAGCGTTGAACCAACAAGCGGCAGGAAGAGGTCCACAAGCTAGTAATGCACCTCCTAAAACAATGTCGAACACAATATGGTCTACATTAAGATTAGTTATATCATTGATGCATAAATATGAGTTGATGGAAGCCATAGAAAATAGGTAACAATCGATGCAATATTTTAATTGTTAATATAATTTATAAACTCTTTATAAAACAGTTATTCGTATATTCAAAATATCTATAATATATTCTTCTAGAGATTTGCCAAGGCTAAATAAGGAATTTGAAATAATGTAGATGAGCGCAAGTGCATTCAAGGTTTATTACAGTGGTTCATTTTTATGTGGATTATTCAGGAATACATTCGGGATTACATAGGTAATCAATAAAAAATAAAATATTTTTTCAATATATTGTAGCGTTTAGTAAAACTAAGTCTAGGATATTTCAGACAGCTAAATGCAGAGAATGTATATACAAATAGATGATTCAAGATATTGTTGAGTTATAGCACTTTTATTGTGCAATATATTGTGTAATTTTATTACTGACTCTTTAACTTTGATATTCTGTATATATAAGAAATATAAAATTGGGGAAAATAGCTCAGTTATGATTAACGTTAAATTTAATTTATAATTATGAATAACAAATATTATATAGGATAATTTTTTTTTATTATATACTAGCTATGGAAATTTATCAATATCTTACAGTACCTTTCATTTCCTCTTTTATTTTATTTGAATAGAATCAAATCTATTTTTGTTTTTCAAAAAAGTAGGTATTTAATTTAAAATATATATTTTGAATCTATCGTAAAACTGTTAAGATGTTGTATCATATTTATTTCTTTTGAAAATATTCTAAATCTTCTTGCTCAAATTTAGATCTTGTTATTCTATTCTAATATTAATCTTTATTTTGTCACAAAGATATGCCTATATTAAACATTTACATTTTATTATGCATATACTGAAACTAATATAATAATAACATTGATAAAAATTTTGTTTATTTTTTATTAATCAGTCTAATAGTAGTTATTGAATCTTATTAGGAATAAAAATTATGGACAAGATATAAGGTAAAAAAGCAATTGCTAGGTTATAATGTATTTATTTTTATGATGAATTATAAATATTATTAATTATTTTAACATAATTAGATTTACAATAAAGAGAAATCATTGCTAAAGGCACATCAAAGTTACATGATTTGTAACACTCAAAAATTGATTACGTAAAACTACTCATTAGGATCAACAGATTTGATAAAAACTATTTTAATAAAATTCATTTTACTAAAGATATATCTTCTGTTCCAGAGCAGAATGAATTCGATTAATAATTAACTTTGAAAAATGTTGATATATAATCTAGATCTGTAGATTATTCAAACATTTGTATAATTATTTCTAAATGCAATCAATAAATAATTACAAATATTTTTTTATATAGATATAATGCGCTCCAAATTTTTAATTTCCGCACACGTTATTTTATAAATCTTTATGTATGAAGTTATTACATCACACCTTTGCTCTGGCACAGAGTTTACATTTTTAGTCGTAATATAATATATCTATATAGAACGATTCAACAGTTAATTATAGACGAATTCTATTTATATTATTTTCTTTCGAAATTTTTTATAATAATTGATGAAAGTTATTGTTAAAAATGCGTGCATCGGCACAACTATTAACTAACGAACATCAGCTTACGTGACTGCATTAATCAGGAACATATGTTTAAAATGTTTGTAGAAATGGTTAATCTGCGAGTATAAGTGCACACAAAGTAGTCTTCCGTAATATTATTGTTAAAACGTGATATCGGAATTCACATTCGTAATTCCTTAGCATTATCATTTCCTTGTCTAGAAATTAGCTAACAAACGATATTTAATGGCAACCTATCTTCACAACTTTAGAGTTGTCAAAAGTTGTTGTCCGGTTTCCATTATCAATGATTTTACATGATCCGCGTGCATAATTTGATTGCACATTTCGGTGCATCTTTGGAATTCTGCCATATCGTCTCTGGGTAAGATGCGATGTAGACTTTTCATAGGCAATGCATGCGGCAAATAATTCAGGATCTCTATAAATTCAGAAAGAAAAGATCATTTTTTGTTACATACCATCTGTTTCACATTCTAATCATATTATGTTAAACTTACCTTTCATAATTTGCGTGTACAAGAGTTGTAGCTCCTGTTGCGTCGTTGAAGCAGCAATTTTGTCCCGCGTTAATTCAATAAGATATTTCCATTCAGTATCCTTCGTATATTTATCCTGAAATATGGTAAAAAGATAATAAATTATCTTTTAGGAAAACGTTTAGATGACAATCCGATATCACATGCTACTGTATGTTACAAATACCTTCGCATACTGTACTACAGCTTGTGGATAATTGTCCATTAGAATTGTCGTTACTTCTTCTGTATTTTGAATGCATAATGTTTTGAGAGATAAATCTCCATCGATATTTTGCGTTTCGAGAAATTGTTTGACCTCATGCAAACATTCGATCGGTAGAAATTCGCACGCGAGTACAGATTGCAACTTAAACAATTCCTTTGGTATAATCTTTTCGGTCTCCGATGCGTCATTAAAATTCGCTAAATCCTTAAAGTCGTTCATGCTTAAAATTTTTTGGTAATCTTTGGCGTACGGTGGCATTTTGTTCAGATAGCTCGGCCGATATTTGGCGAACATGAAGTATTCCTTGTCATTTTCTTCCTGATCCTCCTTGGGATCAGTTTTATACACTCTTGTTTGACTTAATTTGCCTAAATATGATCGCACTAATAATTTGAAAGCCTCAATGAGGGCAAAGTCTGATCGTATCTGATTTTTATTTACAGTTGGCGGCCACTCCATCATGAATTTCGAACTGAAATAATTGTGTAGATATTTTTCGAGAAAAACTTGCAAGGTGGCGGCCGCGTTGTGTCCGTCTCTTCCGACTCTCGACGGTAAATATTCTAGGAACACCTGTATGATTTGATGCAACGACAGCGCGGCTTCGTCTTCTATTAGCTGTATCAGGATATCGGCGAAAGTAGTGTTCTTTATGAGCATCAAGATACCGGCGAAGTCCGAGAAAGTAGCAATCATGGGACTCCTCTTTTTCATTGCGGTCACATCGAACAGTAGTTCCCAGCGTTCCAAAACAATCTGTCTGATACATCGCACGGAAACTGGTTCCAACGCCTTCTCCGCTTGCTCCTGTTTGTCGGCCTGGATGTACAAGAGCGTCAAAGCGAGTTTGACAATGTCATCGGTTTCGTGCGTTAGCAGAAAATTTATCAGTTTCTCGGTGGCGTATTCTCTCAGCACAGAACTGCCGAAGATCAATTTCAACAGATCCTCTTTCTCCAGCTTGCAGATAATCTCTATTACATTATGTCCTTGAAAAAGCGCATCCGCCTCGGATCCGCTTTTCATCGTGAGAAGCGCATCCGTTAAGTACGTCAAGAGTCCCGGTGCGTCCTGACTGCACTTCCTGGATAATACTTCCGAAGGCTTCAGCCCAGACATCTTGTAGTAAGGAATACACAAATCCCAATCCGATTCGCTCTCCGATCGTATATAGTAGTCCGCGAGCAACGCGCACGATTGATTGTAGAGATTTTTCAGTTTGAGATCGTTCTTGTGCGTCGCATCGTCGAATTCCTCATCAATGTAGGAAACATCTTTCGCTAAGCGTATCAAGGCGTGCGCTTCTCCCAGCAAATGCCGATAAGTGCTCGGACTAGAGGATTTATGATTCCTCGCTGCATTCAATATATCGAAGTACACGTTCTCGAATTTAGGTAGATTCAAAGAGTACATGGTCCAAGAACTGTCGGCTTTAGCCAGCAGAATTATATAGCTTTTCGTATGCAACAGCTTCTGTATTCCCAGGAACGGTTTTAAACCGATCAGGCTTATCGGTTCGATGACACTAGGACAGGTCGCTCTGATACCATCTGTGCTATTCGACAATTTCGCGATGTGATGAGAAAGACGTAATGTGTATGATTCGAGACCAGCCTCGGTCAGTGCATGAAGTACCGTGTGCTCCAGCGCTACGTGGTGAACAGGTGCGGTGAACGAATAAGTGGTCAGGCACGTCACATCCAGAGAACCGTCGCTTGTCGCCGGGAAGTGATACAGGTATCCTTCCTGCGTAGTACAAAGGAAGCAACTTACACCTTGCAAGTATCTATATTTGTCAGATCGCAACATAGATTTCTTCACGCCAGTGATGTTACATTCCTTCTTCATATACAACGGCTTCAATATCAGGCATTTGAAAATTTCTAGAATTCCGTCTACCTGAGCATTATTATTTCCGGCGTTGATTTTTAGACATAGCAAATTTTTTATCATATAATTTTCAGACCAGCCTACATCAGGTGAGGTTGTCTTGATGAAGATTCTTATGTCCGCGGAATTTAGTACAAAAGGGCTGAGAGCGTGACCTGGAACAGCTCTTTCTAAGCTTATCAATGGTAGATTCACTGTCAATGGCTGTGAAGAGGGATCAATAATTCCTTGTGCGATTAATCTTTGCATCTCATCTTTTTCGTTACATATTAAGTGCTCCCAGTCTATGTAATTCTTATTATTACTTGCCCTTGCTCTGTTCAATTCGCCTACTTCCGACTTATACCACGTACTTCCTTTTGTGCCCTTGTGTTTCTTATCCTTAGATTTTACATTAGTTAACGCTGTCTCGTTATTTTCAGGTGTCGCGTATTGACAATCTTGATCTGTAGATTTGTGCTTTACATTTGTTCCCTGCAGCGACGCATCGTCATTTCCAAGGCTACTGCTATTTTCTACGAGAGACGAATCTGTGGATATGGACGTCTTGTCGACGGAAGAAGAAGTGGAAGTTAGAGAGCTAAGTTGGTCAATATCCTCGTACATTGAGTTAGTGAGACGAAAAACGGATAAATTTGCATTATCCATGATTGCTATAAAATCTTCCATGATTTCCATGCGCGTAGGTGTGAATGTGAATCCCAATGACCATGGTCTAGGTTCAAAATCTATAAACTTCATCTTTGATACTTGCTGCGTCTCGATCTTGAACTCGTGCAGAATGGCACTGTTCCCCGAGGCTACCAATAAGTTTCCAGTGCACTGACAGCAAGCGATCAATGTAGGTTGCACGCTCAGCGGTAACTCTATCATCTCCAAGCTGTTCAGGGGTCGATTTAAACTCGGCGTGACTCGACCGGCAATCCTGGCGCGCATTGGCTGACTCTGGTCTTTTTCTATAGCCCAATTTACATAAATCCTTACAAAATTAGAAGTAGCTTTATTTGCATGATTATTGCTCGCAGTGTCTCTGAGATATTTTGATTCCAGCGTCACGACGTAATCTCCCCTGGTGCAGTGTACCATTTGATTAATCATGTCCACCGTGGGAAAAATGGTGCGCAGCTTAACGTCCGAGTTCGTCAGCTCCCACACCTCCACGCAGTGTGTGGGCAACGCCAGCAGAAGCATCTCCTGTCCCTGGCTGGTCGCCGTGCACGTCGCCGTGGGTTCCTCGATCTGGGCGACATTCTGCCCCAGGAAATTGTGCACCGTTATCACGCGTACCATCTCTGTGCGCTCCGTTTTAGCTTATCGTCTATCTATAAAATGTTAAAAGGACCCATCTCAGATACGAGTTATTATGCAAGTCGAAGATATCTAGAAGTATAATAGAATACGCCAGGTACAATTCTCTCTCTCTCTCTCTCTCTCTCTCCTTTACATATCTATTATACCTATAATAGATTACTATAATAATTTACCTAGGACTTAACAACTCCGAGGATTGCGGTATCGCACGTAGCGTAACACAGGCATTATAGTCACACTTCTTCCTCGTTGAAAGCTTCCGCTTTTTCGTTGACAATTGACGATGATGAGTGTGTCGTCTGAGCATTCGAGTCAACGTTTGCTTAGTGCACGCCAACGGAATGCGGCTCAGCGCACGGAGTCACGGTTCGTGGAGGAGCGACGTTCCGCCGGGTATCCTGTTACGGGGCCACGGGCCGGTGAAGCCGCGGACGCGTTCACTGGCATTCCGTCGATTGTGCGTCGATCTCACGGAAATAGCGACGACGTGACGCGACGCACAACGCATACACACGGCGGAGAATTCACGGCAGAGTACAGGCGTGGCGAATCGCATCAACAAGCGCGATCGCGCGGCGCATTCTCCGCGGCCGGCGTCATGCTCGAGGTGCGTTTCATTCGACGTGAACGATTATCTAACGCACAATAGGAGGGAGAAAGAGAGAAGGAAAAGAGTCGGTCTGTGTTTGACATTGCAAATTGCGCTTGCGCGCGAAGAGCTTGACAGCACGATGCATGCATCGCCTTGTGCATTCTCTGCACATTATGCTTGCATTCTGCATTTAAAAAGAAACAGATATATAGGATCAGACATGTGGGAGAAAGAGAGAAGGGATGAAAAGTACAGCTCGGCTGCAAGGGACAATGTTGGAGTCAAGCTCAGTCGACAGGATGGCTCGAGCCGTCCCTTCGACGCGCGACATGCGTACTGCAGGGACAGTTTTCGGGTGAATGCACTCATGTCAGACAAACGCTCGATACAGCGTATAACGTAGACGCGAGAAGTTATATTGCGTCCTACTTGAAATCAAGGACGAAATAAAGAAAATATTGTAGTCCCTATAGAGTTACGCTAGGGCGGTATTCATAGCACGATCTTGTATTCAAGAAATCGTCTTAAGTCCAATTCTGATCCCAAGGGCCTATTCAGCCAATAAAAGGCTGTGCGGCATCTCGAGATTATAGTATTTATGGTTCGATCTTATATTTAAGAAATCTTTATTCTTATATAATCTTAAGATTTCATCTAAAATAATTGTAAAATCGTATTTAAAATCATGTTAAATATAAGACTACGAACTATAGTTTTACAGATTTCAATTAACATATGATCAGTGCAGTTATAATTGCAATACTTGCAGCACTTTGTTGACAAAGAAATTAATAAAGAAACAAATCTGTTTCTAAGGATTAAAATTTATAGGGAATTTATAGCGAATCGTATATATAGTTAGAAGTTTTGCAATTCTGCTGATTAATTATTAAGTCTATTTTTATTTTATTAGTAACAGATAAATTTATTGTTGTTTAAATTAGCACATGAAAAGAAAGATTATAGAATTATATTAGATAATAAATATAGGATTACATTAGATATAAGGACAACAAATATATAGTGAGATTTGCCATAGGTAATGTGTAATCGTCGTCGATTGAATTAATTGCTGATTAAATTAATCGACGCGTTTAGTCAAAATTAACTTAATATGCGGTATTAAAATTTTTTTTAATGCACCTTTATCTTTAATTTAAAAAAGAAATTAAAAGAAGAATGCATTATATGAAATCACTAATTATATGAAAATGTATTTAAATTTATACTTACTTGCGTAAAATATTGGAATAATACGGATAAAAATACTTAAGCAATATATATTAATGTTAAGTTACAATATGGTCGTCTTTTTTGTATTCGAAGCAGAAAAAATGAATGCTATATATATCTCATTCTGTTATCTACTTTCTCTCTTATCCTACTTATGATCAAATAAAACATTTTACCTGCGAAATACTATACGTAGAATAAGATAAGCATATAATACGTCAAACACAGTTGATTGTATTACAGAGAGAAAGAAAGTTACTGCGAGAGGAGTAAAAAATTAAAAATTAAGGGACATTTTACGCCAATGTTTTGTATTCTGCAGTCATATGACAGTAGATATATGAGTATTTGTTTGACATACATAAAGGAACGATAATGCAGACAAATAACTAACGATCATTTTTAACCGTTTATGACGTAAGCGCAAAACACAATAAGTTGGAACGCCATATTTTCATGAGTTTCTATGTGACATGTATTTTGATTGGTTCCATGCATTCCATGTTCGAACGATTAGATATCGCTGCTGTTCTAATCAGTGTCCACTGTCCAGTATCTCTGCATTCCTGCACAGAAGTATTGTGTTATCGTGGATTTTGTAATACATTTTTGCAGAGATAGATAGAGAGAGAGAGAGAGAGAGAGAGAGAGAGAGAGAGAGAGAGAGAGAGAGAGAGAGAGAGAGGGAGAGTGAGAGAACAGACAGGAAAAGCGAGAGACACACCTTTTATGATAAGAATACCAGACTTGACGGCTTGAGTTGGCAGTTGCGTTAATTCGAGCGTTTCGAGCTGTGTTTCATCTGTGTTTTAACAAAATAACCATGGCATTACCATCAGCGTTGAAAACCTTGTTTAAGTATGTTTTGCTTTGTTTTTTAAAATATTTCTAACTTTACAAAAGCTAATGTATTTGTAGAAAAAAATTTTTGGGCAGATTTAATGTGTATATCTATATTGGAATAATACGAATAAAAATACTTAAGCAATATATATTAATGTTATGTTACAATATGGTCGTCTTTTTCGTATTCGAAGCAGAAAAAATTAATGCTATATATCTCATTCTGTTATCCACTTTCTCTCTTATCCTACTTATGATCAAATTTACGTCATATATTTTATACTTACAATTTGTTAATTTTTCTTCTTTTTTTGCTCTCTTGCAGGTATATAGATGAACATAAACAAGAATATATAGATACTTTGAAAGAGGCAGTAGCTATTAAGTCTGTGTCAGCATGGCCAGATCACAGAGGCGAAATAATTAAAATGATGAAGTGGGCAGAAGTGAAGCTGAAGAATCTTGGAGCAACTACGGAATTGGCTGATGTAGGGAAACAGACTCTCCCTGATGGCAGTGAAATTCCACTCCCTCATGTGTTACTTGGAACTCTTGGTTCAGACCCAAAGAAGAAAACTGTGGTTTTATATGGACATTTGGATGTACAGCCTGCGCTGACAAAGGATGGATGGGATACTGATCCTTTCATCCTTACCGAAAAAGATGGAAAACTCTTCGGTCGAGGCAGTACCGACGACAAAGGGCCAGTTCTTTGTTGGATACATGCATTGCAAGCTTACAAAGCAACTGGGGTTGATATTCCTGTTAATATCAAGGTATTTCCTATGAAAATAAAGGATAAATGCTTTACTTGGTATTGTTAACTAACATTTTTTTTAATAATATTACATTACATTAATATTAAAGTTTATATACATTATGTATTACATTTTATAATATTACATTTATTTTATAATGTTACATTAACCTTAATCACTTTTGGAATCTTTTCACAGTTTGTCTTCGAAGGTATGGAAGAAAGTGGCAGTGAAGGTTTGGATGAACTTCTTTGGGCAAGGAAAGACAGCTTTCTAAAGAACGTAGATTACGTCTGCATATCCGACAATTATTGGCTGGGGACTAAGAAACCATGTGTCACTTATGGCCTGCGAGGTATCTGCTATTTCCTGATAGAAGTCAGTTGCGCTGCTAAAGACTTACACAGCGGTACCTTTGGTGGATGCGTACATGAAGCTATGGCAGATTTGATTTACTTAATGAACACCCTGGTCGATGTTAACGGTCACATTCTAATAGACGGCATTTACGATAAAGTGGCAGAAATAACAAAAGCCGAATTAGCCAGTTATAAGGATATTGATTTTGATGTAGATGAATTTAGGGAAACAGTTGGAACATCAAAACTAGCGCATAAGGAAGACAAAGTATGCACATGTATATTTTCTCTATTATATAAATTCTGAAATGTACGTTAAATAAACATCTCGATTTATGTTAATTCTTGCAGATTAAGCTCTTAATGCATCGTTGGAGACAACCCAGTTTATCTATTCATGGGATAGAGGGTGCTTTCAGTGAGCCAGGAGCGAAAACAGTAATTCCAAGTAAAGTTATTGGCAAATTTTCGACTAGAATAGTGCCTCACATGACTCCGGACGAGACAACTGAGAAGGTGATCGCGTATATAAATAAGAAATGGCAGGAGAGAGGTAGCCCGAATGTCATGAACGTGAGCATGTTTCACGGTGGCAAGCCATGGTCCGAGAATCCTGATCATCCGAATTACGTAGCTGGTCGGAAAGCGACTCAACACGTTTACAATGTAGAACCCGATCTCTCTCGCGAAGGTGGCTCGATACCAGTTACCCTGACCTTCCAGGAAGTTACTGGTAAAAATGTGTTACTCTTACCAGTCGGTCAGGGTGACGATGGTGCGCATTCTCAAAATGAAAAGTTAAATGTTCATAATTACATCCAAGGGGTAAGCATAATTATTCAAATTAGCAGTTCTTTAAACTTTCACATTTCTTATTTTTTTTTTTACTATTTTCAGACGAAACTACTTGGAGCTTATTTATACGAAGTAGCTCACGTGTAATTGCTGTTACTTCTCGCTTATCTGGGACTTAAGGTGCTTGGTATTTCCTTACATTATTAATATAAAGCGAGATGTGATTTCAATTAATTATAAGATTACAAAACACTGCATTTCTTGTATTTGTTCTTTTTTTATTACAACAAAATTTTTTTAAATGTCATTTTCTAAGATTCGTATATATTTTGAAAATAAATACAATATAAAATATATTCTTAGTAAAATATATGTACATTTTAAAGAGCCCCAATCTTTAACACCCAAGCTGGTTGTCCTTTATGTGCGTTAGCAGGTAAACTTATTTTCAACTTATTATCGGATTCTTTCCACTGAAATGAATATACAAAATTATTTTATCACCATTTTTATAATATACTGGATAAAAGTAACAACGTACTCACAGAAATTATTAATGAATAACCAAGTAGATGTATTTGAGAATTATTCGAAAGTTTGAGCGAGCCTAATAATAAGATGTTATCATCTGGCCATTCTAGAATTGAGGCATACAACTGTTTTTCATTTTTACTTAATGTATACCAGACGCTTCCGGTTAAGGTATCATTTTGTACTTTCCAAGGCTTCGTATCGTAAATAGCTTCACCATTAACTGCTAGCCAAGCGCCTGAAAACAACAAGTTTAGTTGTATATCATTAAGATTATTAAAAAAATATCTAATTAATCAAGATACTAATAAAAATATGATAAGATACAGAAGATGTTTACCCATTCCGCGCAATCTTTCTTCATATATTGGTGTAATGATGCCATCTTTTGTTGGTCCGACGTTCATCAGTAAATTTCCACCGCAGCTTACAGTAATTACTAACTCCTTCACTAATCCTGCCAATGTATAGTACTCCGATAAAACGGCATTTCTACGGTATCCCCAAGACTTTTTGTCAATAGTCATACAATTTTCCCATTTGTGTGATTGAAGTACACCTAGGAAGCACAAAGTTTTATTAATTTATAAATCCACATCCATATATAATACAATGCATACCTTTATTTGAAATTATTCTATATATTATTTTGCATTGAGAGGTATTTTAAGTTATTTACCAGGATTAAAACGATCAGTACACGTAAAGAAACCACCATGATGGCACGGCATATTACTACCCCATCTATCATTCACCACCACTGTGTCTTTTACGGGACTTTCATTGTATAACCATGCCAGAAATTCCTTTGATTTCCAATAAGAATCCGATGCTTCCCAATCCCCATCTGACCAAATTACTTCGGGCTTATATGTTTCTACCAACTCGTGTAACTCTGGTATTATTTTATGAGTCACGAATCTATCTGTTGTAAATTTGTTTTTTTTGTCTTCCATATACAGGGGATTATACCACTCATACATAGAATGATATAGGCCAAACTTTATGTCTGTCTTGTTACGAATAGCTTGTGCCAGTTCACCTATTTAATAAAAGGAGGATTAGATATAAGAATCTTTATACTTAATGCGAAATCTTATTATTAGATATACATCTTTATTACCAACAAGATCCTTTTGAGGCCCCACATCCATAGAGTTCCAACTGAATGAATATCTTGACGGCCACAATGTATATCCTTCATGATGTTTGCTTGTTAATACGATATATTTTGCACCTGATGCTTTGAATAATTCGGCCCATTCAGAAGCATTGAAGAACTCGGCAGTGAAATCACGTGCAAAGTCTTGATAGCTAAAGTTTGGAGGATACCTTTGCTTCATAAAGTCGGAATATTTCGTAGAGTTAATTTCGTCTGCAACATCATACAAATAACATTTTATAAATATTGTCTATACATACATGACACATTTATGAGTATAAAAAGAATAGTACCTTTCCAATTATTCCAAAACCATTCAGAACCAAAGCTAGGCACACTGAATACACCCCAGTGAATAAAGATTCCAATTTTTGCGGCATCGTACCAGGCTGGTAGCGATCGATTGTCTAGACTAGGCCAAGTTGGAACATACTTGGGCGTTTCTGTTAAAATCGACACAAATTTCTCCTCATCCGTTCTCGCTATCACGCTGTAATGCGCCTTTACTGACACGCAAAGAATCAACGCAGCGCACAAAATATGTACTAACAGCATCATTCTGATCCAGCAAGGCTTGATGTAATGAAAGCAACAGACGTCAAACGGATCTTTTATTCCATTCCGTTGTATTGAATCTCGGCGAAGATTTTACTTCTGTATGCTGTTTCGTATCGTGTTTCGAGATTAGATTAGATCATTGCTGTGTATTTTTTTTAGAACAGGCATCGTATTGTTAATCGAGTGCTAGTAACTTGTATATCAAATTTAAGCGGATACTGTTTACAAAACACTATAACTATAATGCTACAAAAGTGTTGGGAGCTTTCTCTCTCTCTCTTTCTCTCAAACAATATTCGATCTTTTATTACGTTTGGTCATATTAATACACTAACGTAAATCGATTTCCTCAATAATTGAATCACATTCATAATTGCGAAAATTGAAATACAATACATATATTTCAAAATAGTAATTGTAAATTTAACAATGAGCTTTGTTGTCATATAACTAGTATTTCCTTTTTATTATATTGATTAATGTAAATGTTATCTACTCATCAGCTACATTATCTTTCAGAATTGACCATAATATCACGTTCGCATCTTGGTCTCATTATCATGTTTATAAAATACAATGTAATTAAAGTATCATCTGATATACAATTTACGTTATAAAATAGAAGGAAAAGACTAGATCGGGAGTAGATGTAGATAACAAAATTGCTCATGCGAAAAATGATACATTATGATTCTTCAGAATTTTCTCCTTTTTATACAAATATCTATTGTGTTTAGCAATATGAAATTGTTTTAATTTTACGAATGCTATGCGCTATTGTGCTAATGGCTGTCAGTTTGATGCATACAACATATATGATATATCCATGATATATCCTACAATAATTCACTACCAACCGCGTAGCACAAATATTTCACGAACATTTATATCGCACAATTCGAGAATTGTCGAGAACGAGATTCATCTCGATTTGTTTCACTTCTCATGAAAACAGGATCGTATGAATTTAAATAAGAGGAGAGTAAGAGAAAGCAGTAGAGATTTATACTGACAATATTTATATTGATATCAGTCTATAAAATGAAATATATTCTTAATGCATATATTTTACATATGTATATATTAAATATACGCATATATTATTGAAAATCTAACATTTATATATATAAAATACTGTCTTATATTTAATTAGTTTTCTCTTTCATCCTTAATACCCAAGCTGGCTGACCTCTATGTGCATTAGCTGGTAAACTTATTTCTAGCTTATTACCGGATTGTTTCCACTGAAATGAACACACAAAATTATTTTATCACCATCTTTATAAAATACCTATATGGGTATAGGTAACAATGTACTCACAGGAATTCCTGATGATGAATAACCAAGTAAATCTATCTGAGCTGAATTATTCGGAAGTTTGAGCGAGCCTAATAATAAAATATTATCTTCTGGCCATTCTAAAATTGAGGCATAGAGCTGGTTTTCATTTTTACTTAATGTGTACCAGACGCTTCCTGTTAAGGTATCATTTTGTGCTAGCCAAGGCTTAGTATCATAAATAGCTTCGCCGTTAATCGCTAGCCAAGCGCCTTAAAACAACAAATTTACTTGTATTAAGATTATTACATATACAAAATTGATATCTGAATCAATCTAGTCACTAATAAAAAAAAAATAAGATAAGATACGAAAGACGTGTACCCATTCCGCGCAGTCTTTCTTCATATATTGGTGAAATGATGCCATCTTTTGTTGGTCCGACATTCATCAGTAAATTTCCACCGCAGCTTACAGTAATTACTAACTCCTTCACTAATCCTGCCAATGTATAGTACTCCGATAAAACGGCATTTCTACGGTATCCCCAAGACTTTTTGTCAATAGTCATACAATTTTCCCATTTGTGTGGTTGAAGTACACCTGGAAAAACATTCCTGTTAACAATAATCAGGTATTGTAAAATATTATCGACTAATTTCTATTAATACACTTTAATAATTAATCATATATAATCGCAATAAGCATAATAATAAATTACCAGGATTAAATCGATCAGAACATGTATAGAAACCTCCGTGATGACATGAAATATTAATGCCCCATCTATCATTCACCACCACTGTGTCTCTCACAGGACTTTCATTGTATAGCCAGGATAAAATTTCCGTTGATTTCCAATAAGAATCCGGTGCTTCTCCATCTCCATCTGACCAAACTATATCTGGCTTGTACGTTTCTATCAACTCGTATAATTCTGGTATTATTTTCTGAGTCACAAATGTATCTGTTGTAAAATTATTGCTTTTGTCTGTCATATAGAGAGGATTGTACCATTCAAACATGGAGTGATACAAGCCAAACTTTATATCTGTTCTGTTTCGAATAGCTTTTGCCAGCTCACCTGTCTCACAGAAAAAGCTATATTTATATATTGATCTTTATACTTAAAACGAAATCTTATTATTAGATAAACATCTTTATTACCAACAAGATCCTTTTGAGGTCCCACATCCATAGAATTCCAACTGAATGAATATTTTGATGGCCACAATGTGTATCCTTCATGATGCTTGCTTGTCAATACAATATACTTTGCACCTGACGCTTGGAATAACTCTGCCCAGTCGGCAGCATTAAAAAATTCAGCAGTAAAGTCTCGCGCAAAGTCTTGATAAGTGAAATTTGGAGGATATCTTTGTTTCATAAAGTCCCGCAATTTTGTAGTAAAAATTTCATCTGCAACATCATATATAAAATTAAATAAGATGTATCACATTAATCTTGGGCATAGTATTTTTTATTATAGAAAATATAGAAACTAAGGTGGAAAGTAAATGTTCAACCTTTCCAATGCTTCCAAAACCATTCGGAACTAAAGCTGGGCACGCTGAATACACCCCAGTGAATAAAGATTCCAAACTTTGCCTCATCGTACCAGGATGGAAGCGGTCGACTGTCTAGACTAGACCACGTTGGATCATATTTTGGTGCTTTTGTTAAAAATGGCACAAAGTTATTATCCTCAACCCCTATCACGTTAACGTTCGCCTCTACTGACACATAGAGGATTAGGACGGCGCACAAGATATGCATAAGCATCATCTTGCCAAGAAACTTGTAATGAAAGCAATGGGTGTTGGACGAGTCTTTTATTCCTATCGGCTGCATTATAAATCTCGGTGAGGGTTCTATAATCTATTTCTGTATGTTATTTGTTTTGTATCATATTTTGAGATTAGATTAGATCGACACTTCATAATTTTTTTAGACAAAGATCACATTACTGATCGACGCTAATGTATAATTTATATATATATAAATATAATATAGCATATAATTTAACATTTTCATGAACGCTGTAAATTCGCAAAAATTATGAAAGAGCACCAGAAGATTCTAAACGATATTTATTTAATCTAAATTAAATTAATGTATGTATATTAGTGAATTTTTAAAATCTTCAATAAAAAACTGAATAAATCCGAATCCGAATTAAAAATACAAAGTTGTTTTACGAATGCAAATTACGAATGCAAATTAAAAAAAATATATGTAAAAAATTGACAATTGTGTGGATTTTGTAAACTTTATTGATAATTACAAATGCTGAATTAACAATTTCGTGTTTACAATATTAATTCAGTGTAATCACTAATCTCTCTGGGGCTACATTATCTCTGACCAATAGAACATTATATATGATCATGCCCCACTCGTCTCACTATCGTGTTTACAAGATATAACAGTGTAATTAAATTTTAAAGTATCAGATGCGGAGATGCGATCTTCAAAGCTGCTACAGATAAGAAGTTGCTCGTGCAATCTAACTACTTATACAAAAAGCGATACGTTACAACGTTAATGCGTTCCGGAATTTTTTTTTCATATGAATATTCGTCTTCTATCGACGTGCAACATCTTATTTTTCAGCTCCACGATCTCCACATGTCAGGTTATGTCAGCTATGAAATTCGATGTTGTGCCGGTGAAAAGTACTCTTGTCCACTACTCCACTCTCGCTTCTTTCTGTTGTCGCGTTCTAAAAGGTATTTCGCACGCGGCCAATCGCAAGCGGAATCGCAGCAATTTGAGCAGCAGCAGCGTGATTCGGCATTCCGCGCGTCATGGAAACGGTACCGGTAAGAATTTGAATCAACTGGGCCGGGCGGAGGAACGTGAAACGTGCGAAGATCGGTTTGTCGAGGGATAGACGTTTACCGGTGTTTTCGAACGTGGTTTTTCTATCCGTGGGAGATATCGCGATTCAACATGGCTTGGGTGCCGTTGGAGTCGAATCCAGAGGTGAGTCAGCTTCCTGTTGAATCGCGACACGTTATTACTCGAGCAGCCATTCAACAACAATTGCCTTCCGTCTGTTTCAGGTTATGACGAAGGTAAGCAGTTGCTACGTTTGGTTAATCGATTTCAACATTTCCTCGGCGATCGTGGCCTTGGGCGTCGTACCTCGTCGATCAGCTCACACACTTCTCGTGAAAGAAAGGAACAATCATTCTAACAGATCTCCCCGGCCAGATCTTCGAATGCACAAAAAATTCAGTGTACAATTTGTTTTTGTTATTTTTATAGTTCCTTCACAAGTTGGGTGTTCCAAAGAAGTGGTCAATCTTAGATGTTTACGGTTTCGAGTCGGACTTGCTGGCGTTCGTTCCTAGACCTGTTCTTGCCGTCATTCTGCTTTATCCTACAAAGGTATATATATATATATATATATATGGCATACGCCAATGTGATAAGACATTTTGCAATTCGACTGATGTGTCTCTACAAGCAAAGTTTGTTTTATTGTCTCCTTAGACTGAGAAGACTGAGGAGGACAAAGCAGAAGTTAAGGATAACAAGACTGATGTGCCAGATTCTGTTTACCATATGAAGCAATCTATTTCGAATGCGTGTGGGACCATTGCGTTACTTCACAGCGTGGCGAATAACTTGGACGCGTGAGCATCTGCGATCGTATATAATTCAGTCTGTCACATTGATGAGCAATAAAAATAATTAAATTCTTTGTTACGTTACAGCATACAGTTGGAGGATGGCTTTCTCAAGAAGTTCTTAGATGAGACCAAAGGACTGTCTTACCTTGAACGTGGCGAGCGTTTGGACAAAGCGCAAGGCATCATTGATACTCACATGGAATCTGCCCAGGAAGGACAGACCGAGGTACTTTTTGCTGGTTTATAGTTGAAAACGACGTTATTATCGCGTAATAAATAATAATATAATAAATAATAGCGTAACATAATAATAATACGAGATATATTCCTTTCTTTTAGGCGCCAGCTGAAGATGCAGAGGTGTACCATCACTTTGTCGCGTTTGTACATAAAAATGGTTCCCTGTACGAGCTGGGTATGTGTTTGATCTACATCAAGTTTACGGCTTAATCAAGTGTAACGATGATTTAATCAAATTTCAACAAATATTTGTTTTGTCAGACGGCCGAAAGCCTGCGCCTATCAATCACGGTTCTACTACGTCAGAGACACTCCTAGACGATGCCGCTCGTGTGTGCAAGGAATACATGGAACGCGATCCCAACGAAGTGCGTTTCACGGTGGTCGCACTCGCTGCCAACGAGTAAACGGAGTCCTCATCCTCAAGTGCATTCGCCTTTAAGCTGATTTAAGCCCAAAGAATTTATTTTATATGTTATAACAATGTTACATACATTTCGCTTCGGCAACGCATTTGTTTTGTCAGTTTTCTTAATTGCCAGCTTTTTTAACACTGTGTAGCATGTTAATGAAAAAATTTATATACACAGTTGTATAAACAATTTTACTTTTATTGAAAAACAAGATCCTCACTTGCAGCTCACTGAATCTCCATACAGCGTGTGGAGTTTGCATTAGTATGAATGATACCGAGAGTGATGTATGTAGATATTTTTAACTGTCGAAACGATAAAAATATGGGACGACGTGAGGTGCTATAGATAGAGCATTTAAAACAAACTCCAGATATTTTCCGTCGGTCAAGGTCTTTGGGCTTTGCGCAACAAGGCGGATGACTGCCAGAGTGAGTTTCGGTTCTGCGAGGAGTTGACGATAAATTAGGACCGATACATCCTCTCGTTTGGCACAGATTTAACGCATTGATTTGGTGGCGTTTACTTTTGATCGCCAACGTCGTATATCTCGCGCCCGTTTTCGTAAGTGTTGACCTTTGATATTTTACATTACTTAATACTCTCGTCATCCAGTAATTATGCACACATTGCAATTAGGTAAATGTTAATCACAATCAGACAAGAGGTACGAAGTTTTTTGGAAATTGATTATCACGGAAATATGATTTTAATTTTGTGTAAAAGATATACGAAGTGTATCTAATTAAAAAGAGTAATCCCTTTTTATAGATTATTTGATTAAAATATTTAGGTTGCGTTCCGTTTCACGCATGGTGCGCATGATTTATCCTTGTTTAACATTTGATAAACAACAAGGATAACATGATACATCATGCGCATCATGCGTGAAACGGAACGCTGCTTTATTGATCTTTGATAGGCTACAATTCATATCTTTAACAAAATAATTAAAATTTATGAATTTAATTTATAGTATGGACGCGTTTATTTGGATCATTGCCCTTTTAATCACACTTCTTTAAAATTTATAAATTTAAATCCATAACATTATCAAAATATTGACAAATAATTTAGATAGCCTAGCGACCGAGGGAAACATTTAAATGAACGTATTCGGCATATTTTATAAATTTTATATTTTCTTAGAATACCGATGGATTTTTTAAAGATTTTATTTTTTCTTAATATATTTATGAATATTTATCATATATATAGTGCGCATCATTGCTCTTTTAATCACACTTTAAAATTTATAAATTTAAATTCATAATATTATCAAAATATTGACTAATTTAGATAGCCTAGCGATCGAGGGAACTTAAATGAACCTATTCGGCATATTTTATAAATTTTATATTTTTTTAGAATATACATGGATTTTTTTAAAGATTTTATTTTTTGTAAATATATTTATGGGTATTTATCATATATATAGTGCGCACTATTGTTTCGTACGTTATCAGGAATTGCGACACATGTCGGTCACTGACCAGCCGCCGAAAGCGTCAGCTATTTTAGATCCCTCTTCCGAGAGACCACGCATCTTGGCACCGATTCTCTAAATAGTGGCTGCAAAATATAAAATAAACTAAATTCCAGTAACGCGATCTGCCTATATTATATAACATTGCTCCGTTCCAAATCGCGGTTTAGAAACTTGCCTATAAATTGCGAACTGCAATTTTAATTGCTAAACGTTATAAACATCAAGACAATAACAGGATGTCGTTCGCATAGATTAAAAATTTTCCATTTACTTTATACATTAGGACATATTTATGACAAGCCCTATGGAATTTAACCGTGTGGACGCATAAAGATGGAAACAATCTCTTCAGTCTTGACAGTCGAGCGAATGGAGTTCTTCCAGAGATAGAGCCAAAGTGTTATCTCAAGATTAGTAATGGACTAAACGCGCGGTAGTCTTTTTCATGTTTGTTTTGTCATAAGTGCGTTCATATTGTTACCGAAGGTTCACTCCTTGGCGCGCTACGTCATTCTAATGGAAAATTTTATATCTTGCGGCCTGCCGCGTAGACGGGACCGGTTAGTATCGCTTATCTCGTGGACCATATGTTATGTTCTAATAAATATGTGATAAATTGACGCGGACCATAACTTTTACGCTGTCAATGCAGCAGAAGTATCTCGTACACAAATTTTTCAAGGCTTGCAAAAAGATATTGACCAACCAAAACGCAATGGAATAGCAAAATTCCATTGCGCCGTAATCTAATCAGCATATTTGTTCTCAAAATTATCATATTCAGCGTGATCGCGCTAATTCGTTTAGCGATCTCCAATTCTTATCGTTATATTTCAACGTGACTGAACGATAAAATCAATTCGTCGCTCATGAAATTATTTAGATGTACCTGATGACCTTAAGAATTCAAATTGTTAAAAAAAAAAGGAAAGAGAAACTGCATCTCTTAGAGATCAAGGTGTCGGTTGCAAGGCTTACTCGTTCTATCGCGTTATTTATCAAGTAGCTCGAAGACTCGCGTATCAGCCCTTCAAGGTGAGATTTATGATTGCGAAGAGAGCTCTTTTGCGATATTTTGCACGGTTCTTCTCAATAGAGAAACTGCCAGCGGCTGATAAGCGGGCCTAGAGCAAATATACTAATTGCGACGGGTATTACTTTAATTGATGAAACCGTTTATGATGGCAATTCCGCGAAGCTTCGCGATTAACCGATCATGGTACATATCTGTGTTTCGTCAGGGATTCGCAGATTTCGCAACGCAGGAGACAGTACTACGCAATTATATGTAAGAGAATGAGTCGCCATGTAGAGACACGTCCGTTCTTGATTAATTCTAACAATAAGTCATGAACCGATATTTAGTATTTCTGTAAAGAGAACGTTTTTTCTGAGACATTGCGTTAAAATGAAGAGAAGAGATTTCTGTTTTACTCGAGCAGCTGTTGCGACCTTCGTACAAAGTAACAATTAAGTAACATTTAAAAAGAAAAGAAATAAATATTCTGTTTCCGGTTTCGAATATACGTATGCATACGTTATTACGTGTTCATGGCTGCACAACGGTTTAAGGTCAACCCACGCATATAAAATATCGCACTTACGACCTCGTTTCTGTTTCTAAACCGCGTGCTGGCGCGTGTCATCCGTTTTCGTTAGAGCCGTGTCGGTAGATACGGTTTGATACGCGTGAATTTTTCAATACACCATATAGCGTACACGCGCCTTATCTCGCTCCTTACCACACCTCTTATATCGCTTTCCTGATCGTTCGGTTTTAGTTGCGGTTTGTGCATATGCATGTGCGCGGAGGCCTTGGGTGCCTCGAATGCACTCTTACTTTCAAATAAGGAACCAAACGAAAACCTTCGTGCTAAAGTCGAGGACGCGCGTCAATAGCGAGGTCGGATTTCCATCGACGTTATTTTAAACTATGTCGCAACGTATCTTTCGTCATTAATCTGTGGAGTTCACATTTATATTATATTAAATATGCCACGTCGAGATTGCATCGCTTGAGTTTAACATTCCAAAGAAAAAAAAAAAATCCCTGTCGCGAGTACATGTGAGTACTTTCGAGTCAGAAAAAAATTCCGCTTCTTTTCTGGACTTATTACAGCGTCTGCGAAGTTCGACCTTTGATGCGAAAGCGAGTGCACTGACCGGTAATACATCAATGCTTTGCACGTTTCGGCCACGCCATTGAAGTCTTTTATGCTAACAAAATGACAATATCCACGCAAGTTATTCCGACTTGTTAATCTTTAATTGCAGCCACGAGAGAAAGTGTAAGACCGTCGCAATCATACGCGGCGCGACGCTCATATATGCGCTTTGATGCGACTTTGATGCGCTTTAATTCGCTCGATTGCGATCTTTCTTCGACCGCCAAGGTCATATTTTTAACTTTCTCGTACGACTTTTTAAATTTGTGAATTTTTTTCTTAGCACCCTTTACTCGAGATTACCCCGAGCTGTATTCAATTTTCTAATTACGTGGAATATTATAATCATATTCTTCACTCACATTCTTTCAAGTGACATTTTTAACAATTCGGAGCTAAATTTTATCGCTATGTTATGACAAGGTTTTCTTTATCACTCTGTCTCTTCCTCTTTCGTAAACTCAAGTGACTTATTACCGATAAAACGCCATAACCGGCAGAAGTGTACATGCGATTCAAAATTTTCTGAAGTTAAGTTACGGCCAATTCCTCGAGATTGAGGTCGATTTTCGGTCCGTGCACTCGATGATGAAACCGACACGGTCCCTGCCCCGGGCTGTAACAAGCCCGGTGCCAAGAATAAAGGGACACGGCATTTCGGCATTAGCAGCTAGCAGTAAGCGAATAGACAGAAGGAAGTAGACAGCCTTCGAGTGGTTGTTGCGTCGAGTGTTCCTCGACGATTTCAGACCGACACCGTTTCAGTCGTGTGTAAGCAGCCGACCGTTGAACGTGCGACCGCAAGAACGGCGACGATCGACGGCATCATCCATGGGTTATCGGCATACGTTTTCTTTCATTATTTGGACATAATTGAGTCGAACAGTCGAATCGATCACAAAGAAAGGTACGTATGTTATTATGTATATGTATGTATGTCACGTGTCGTTAGATTTTGACGCGTTTCTCGACAATTTAATTCGCCAGTTGTTGACCTTTTCTGGCATGCCTCAGACTTTATTTACTATCGCGCAGTTTTGAATAATGAATGACCCTTCTCGCGCGCTCTCTCTCTCTCTCTCTCTCTCTCTCTCTCTCTCTCTCTCTCTCTCTCTCTCTCTCTCTCTCTCTTGATCGACGAGGATAACTTAATTTCAAGGTTTTAGTAACGCTAATGGATTAACATAAAATCTTAACATATACACTGGTCGTCAAACCGATAAAGTAAACAAAATTCTTGATTGAAGAAATAAGCCGATATGAAAGCGTGCTTATAATCATTCTATGTTATTGTCCAAGAGAAATTGGACTAATATGATCTAACATTAATTTTTGCACGTGGCAATATCACCACTCGTTAATTGGAGCAGTCAATAAATGACATTTGTCGCCATAAAATGATTGCATTACTTTTCCGCTAAACGTTTGCAAAAAATTTTTTTGTTTTTCGTTAAGTTAAAAAACAATTTATTAAAAATTTCATGACAAGCAAAAGATGCTTTGCTTGCAAAAGTAGATTTTCAGGAGATACGATCGTATTTCAGCGTTAAAGTAAGACTGATATAAGTATAAAATAAAATAATTTGTAGTAAACAGCTAGAACAACTACAAATGCAATAGAATAGCTGCAATTTTAAGGGCGATATTATATAGCTATTACAATTTTGCCCTAATTAAAGCACAATTTATTTTTTTTAAATAGAAAACTGCAAAATTTTTTAAAGTATATGTAATTTCTTGTTGCAATGGTATCAAGTTAGAAGACAGACATATAAAGAGCATCTTTTGCATAAATTGAAATAAAAATCCGATTTGAAATAAATGCTCGGTATGATTAATTTATATATTTATATTGATTATACATTTTTTATCAACATTTTTCATCTAGGTACTTGCTTCTAAAATTTTCGGTCTTATTGCGTTAGATCATTTGTATATTGTAAATATTGCATGTATGCATGCAAGCATGAAGAAGATTAAAAGATATTTGACTAAAATAATCCAGTTATATATAGCTTCATTATCTATTACACGTGCATCGTGTATAGATATTAGATGATAGAAGATTAAGTTTGAATTACACGTTATCTTGAAAATGGGATTACGTTGTATACATTATAATAGTAGGGTCTTATTAATTTTGTTCGAAAATTGAGAATCTTAATTTTGTGTTTGTAAACTTTGCTAGAAGTATGAATTTGATTAATAATGATCATTTGCACACATTTATTAATTTTTATTACTTTCTATGTGCGAGTTCGATTTTTAATATTATCGTTTTGTACTTAATTGAATTTCCATGTAATAAAATTTATTTCGGTGATGAACATCATTAAATTTCGATTGTCACCTGGAAACACGCGTAATTTCTTCAAACATTTACGCTCGCGTCGACATTGTTTTTCGCGACAATATTTACTATCCCGTTGTTCTCATGCAGATAAGTTTCGTTTCGGGCAGTTAGCTTTAACCGCAAATACATTCGTTTATCTCCAAAGCTTTTTCCGCCGACATCATATTGTTTTTAGCTACGTCAAGTGCGCGATACGCGATTTTCTGGCAAGTGCCAAAATTGCATTTAATGACGCACTAGGTTTAGCGCCGAAATATCGTTATTTACAAATACGATTTGATTGGTATAAAGCGCAACGTGATGTTGCAATATGCGGTTTTATAGATATAGATATAGATAAGGATATAATAGATATTTCTCAGAATTTCAATATAGATGAAGATAAGAATAAAATAGATATTTCTCAGAATTTCAATTTAATTAATTAATTTGTTCTTTTAACGTATTTTTTAATACATAATTTTATTAATTTTCTCTACTCTTTATTTCACAAAGTCAAACAACTTGCTTCTGAGAGGCTTTTGAGAGACTCGTTCATATCTTCATATTAACGTAGCGAAGATTCATGGACAATTTGTTTGCAAAATGTCCTTTAAACATTGCACCTATACATTCCAGGATATCATGTGCACATCACATGATACAATTATTGCATCATGTAATATGCTTCACTGCACCTTCGTAAATGTTAATGTGCTGAGGAAAAAAGAACATTTTTCCCAGTAACGTATTTCAAGGATAGCAAGTGCAACAATTTCAATTACAGTGAATTGCGGTTATGCATCAAATTTGCAGGAAGTAATGAAAAATCGAGAATGACTAGAATAATTTTTATTGCACGGGAACTTAAACATCCTGTTTTTACAATTTGTTGTGATTCCACTGTATACACGTGAATTAGATGAGCGATATATTCATTTACTTCAATGATATCTTCAACTTCTCGAGAAGTATGAGTGAAAGTACGCTTTATTTTTTCGCGTTGCACGTTCGAATTTTTTTTTAAAGATTTAGTCAAGGAGTACTCGTATGTGAGTTATCGCGAAACGATGTCGGTTTATCGTATGGCGACATTCTATCGTGGTCGTTTCATGTTATTGACTTGCGTGCAAATTGCCTTCTCGCCGAGCGATATCAATGCGCATTCGTATACGTATATGTATACCTATGTATACCGCGTGTCCCAGAACTCGCACTATCTCTGAAATATTAGACATCAAAACAGGAGCGCCCATCATTCTATGTCTGAGATTCGTAAAGATAATTACTTCCTGTTAACTCCTCATCCTAAGTCGTCTCTTATTCTTCCAAGTTATCGGGGAATTCAACTTAATTTTAGAGATGTTTATCTTCCGGAAACTGGCTTCATTCTCAAAGATTCTCCGAAAGGCAAGCGATGCATCAACGCAATGCGTCTTTATCAGTCATTCTAAATAACGATCTCTCTCTCTCTCTCTCTCTCTCTCTCTCTTTCTCTCTCTCTCTCTCTCTCTAATTGCACAACTTAAATAGAAGCGTGATCACATATCTTAATCGAGCGACTTGAATGCCACGACTTACAGCGACATCCGATATACTTTTGCGATCGCCGCTATCACTCGGAAGAAATCTTTTCACGAGCCTATCTTTCAAAAATTCTCCCCCTTCTTTCCGAAAGCAGAAACGTCGAACGCTTATTGGCACTTTGACGCAATCGTGGCTCGCGCGTTTGATAAAAGTGCACGTGACTGAGGGCCAAAAGAGCGCCGGTAAACGCTTCTATTTCGGTGGTATCGTCGCCGACGGCGGTAACCTGGTAACATTGCCAAAAAGTGAATTCGCGTCGGTCAAAGCAGATGCTGTAGTTTCCCCGAGCGGAACACGTGACAGTAATTTAGGTCGTCCGAGCTCTAACACGGGCTGCTCGTGCCGTCTATCCGATTGTCTACCGTGGGATCGCAAACGTGATTGTGAGTCCACCTACGATCGACGTGAATCTAATAATACCGCGACCGACTCCGAACGTAATTATCGTCGTGACTTAACAGATTCGATTAATTGAATAACATTATCCCGCACGACGCTACTCCACCTCTCTCTCTCGAAACGATCACGTGGTAGGCACGTTGAAAAAAACTCTTTGACAAATTACGACAGCAATTACGGTGATTATATTAAGTTGACTAACTGCATAAGTACATTTGACTAAGTACGTTGTCAGTGTTTACTGTACAATCGTGTGACTACTGATTAACTCAAATAAAAAAGGAGAACACAAGCAGAGTATAAATTTTTGATGAATGACATATCATCTTTTTTCACTGTATCATTATGATAAAGCGTACGTTCTCTTCTACCAATGATTTAATCATCGTTTTGTTTCCTTGACACACAACATCTCAATAAAATATATACCTATTAAAATAGAATAGAATATTTATTTCCTTCACCATATAAAGCCTGGAAGAGAATTTGGTTTTTACAATTAAAAATCTAATACACACACATGTATCCATACCTTTACCAAACAGTTCGTCCTATTCTAATATCTTGTACATATCTTTCTTTATAATCTTTTGCTTAGCCTATACGCTCTTTGCACTTCACTTCTTTATTTTTCTATTTTTACATTTATATATTTATATCTTTGTATCTTTGTTTATTTTTTATCATTATATTTCTCTCTATTCATATTTTTATTAATATCTAAACTTATCTCTTTCGCCTATATTTATTCTATATATACTCACAGCCACTCATTCGCCGTCCTATACAAATCTCGTATAAGATGTAAGTAACCCTATTTAATTAAAACTTAACACGTATATATTTGTAACTGATTTAGATTTTGATTGATTATTTGATTATTGTCAAGATCTCTATTAATTAGAGAAACACTTATCTATATAATAATCAAATATTAATTATTTAATCAAATTTGAATTAAGAACTAAAAATGATGTTATAAACGTGAAATTATGTCAATATATAATTTAATCACGTGTAAAGTATTCTAATGTTTATTACAAACGTAGTTATAAATTTTAATGTGAACATAATTTTGCTTGACATTTTATTATTTGTGATTTATTTTCACACGAGCGCCGAATTAAACGAAAGTAATGGCTAGAAAAGCGCTAAATTAACCGGAAGTAATAACTAGCTAGCTCAAGTACATAATGTACACTTTGGATATGCCACTATAGTTCTAATTGTAAGAGGGATTTTAAACGGACTATTAATTTTCAGAGAAATCGTATTGTCACGCCTGTTGCCTTCGCATCGAAATCGCAAAGTCCATTTGCACTTGCTCAGTGATAAATTATAGGTATCGCTTCTGAATCATATTATGAATACGCGAAATAATATCATTGATGATTCATTACGGTACTTTGAGTGAAAACATAAAATAAAAAAAAGCATGATAAAAGGAGATATATTTATCGCGTACACGTGTTTATTCAATATGTATCAAATATAAATAAAAAAATTATTTATATACAAATAAACATGAAATAGCGTAGTAAAACTCGACCTTACACACGCGAACGTATTTTTATTTTACCGCGTTCAAATCAAATATTTGTACTATCATAACTTCAAGTCTGCGTCAATTTCATCGTCTTTTATTTTTGCTCGCCTCCCTGAAATTTTAATTTCTTTCCGATAATACACTCTATATCTCGGAACTCTGAAGCAGTGGAAAACATCGTCTAGCGTAATTATTTGCTTAATGAGCAAAACCGTACTTCTGTGTGAGGCGCTTGGATCCAGTTAAAGGTCACGATTCGTGATCTATTAGCATAAGAGTTAAGAGATAATAAACTACACTCGCGAGGGTATTATCTAGCGCAGATAGTCATATCTCCTCCTATGTTTAAATCATTTAACGTATTTTACATTCCATCATGACTAAATGCTTTTTCTGTTGTGCAAGTTGCACAGACGGCAATTCTCCGCGTTATTTATTGGCGGTATCTATTCTTTTGCATTGGCGTGCTGTCGATGCCAGAATTTACGTTCGAAGTATACAATTACGCAATTGTTGTTATAATAATTTTTTTTAGATTATTATGCATATTGAAATCGATTTTTTTTTATTAATTATTAGGCACCGCGTTAAAGTTTGGCGCGATATTTTTATTATGTTAGAAACACGCTGTAAATATCTCGTGCTATTTCACTTGCGTCGGGTGATCCGGGTGATTCGGCGCGGACGCGACGACGCTTTCACGTTGGAGGCATATGTTGGGTACTACATTATTACATTTTTACTACATTAAGTATATAATAGCTTCTCGGGTTATAACCTGGAGGATATCTCGATTAAGATCGTTTACTTACATTAAAGGCAAGTGGCGCAGGAAGTGATTACGGACTTGTTTTACATAACAATTAATATATAAGGTCGTTCCTTTTTATTTTGCCTAAAAAAACACCACCAACTGTACAGTACTTTTCCGCATTACAAAGTTATCTTCACATCGGAAGCGCACCACTCGCTCTTCGTTTTACGTAACAAAAATACAGATGGTATTGATAAACACATTGCGATTAAAGAACAATATTTAAAGTAAGTACCCTGATTATGAGATTGATCGATTTGTTTATGTCTGGCATATCGATTATCTCATCAAGTGATTATCTGAAGGAAAATTACCGATTGTAGCGATTTTTATATACATATATATATATAGTCATGTCATAAGTAATGACAAGCTAGACTTGTAACTTTCTCGTGTCTCAAACGTGATCGCAAGTAAGCGTTTTCCTCTTTTCATTTTTTTTTCTTATTCAATATTTCAACACTATATTGATCTTTGTCATGGGATTAAACGCTGTGCACACGCTACGGATTAATTAAGAAACCAATCAATACGAAGGCGTGCAAGGCGTGTTCAATTGACGACAATGCGTTGTTAATAACGGAATTATACCAAGGAATTCGCCTTTGATCTATCTACATTTGTTGTAGTCAAGTTTTCAGCGAGACGAAAAAAAAAAAATTCAATGCGCGGCGAAAGAGCGTAACTCGTGTAAAAATACATACACTCAAGTCGCTTCGTGCCGATGACAGTCCCGTGTACTTGGCGCCCGATTGATTATGCATATACATACGCGTTTCATTCATCATGTTGTCGTAACGCGTCTAGACAATTGAACAAAGAGCGTGTTTCTGACGTATGCGTTGTTGTTACGAAAAGCGCAAGTTTTGGATTGGTGAATAGGAGTCGCGCGCAAGAATAGAGCCTCGAGGCGCACACTGTGCTATATATACTTTAGTGTACCTTTTAATAATGTATATTTAATGTTACGTATGTATGTTTCATACGTATATACATACATACATACATACATACATATTGTATATATGTGTATGTATATATTTTATACAGAACTACAAAACAATAGGAGAATATATATGCATTACTGCGTGTGCTTGGAACACGTTCAAAAATCTGTCTTAATCCATATGTCTAATTATCTTGTAGATGGAAATGAACAGCAATCCGATTTCCGTGATCTCGCCAAAGAAGAACTCTATTCATGGCGATGAAACAACTCTCAAGCAGCCACATGTGTAAGTTTATTTTAACGTAAACGATTGGGAATATAATAGAGAGAGAGCCTCTCATTCTATTTTTATTAATACATTATCTATTTATGTCGTTTCCGATATTCGGTAGTAGCCAGTACATTATACATTTATTCTACTGAAGATGGTTTTACTACATTTGATTAATGAGTTTCGAGGAGAAGCGTCCATTATGGCATTATGTAATCAGTAATTGAAAAGTTGATTAATATAAAACGCTGTGACGGATAGTAATTACATAAATATTAAGTGCAGTTGCAAGTGTGCGACACACTGCTGATTCTGATTAAACGCGCCACATGAGGAATGTGATTTAATTACGTTCGTTGGAGCTAACTTAATCACTCGTTGCATAATTACATGGACGATTGTTAAATGACGTTACGATTTGGTACGCTACTTGTGATAAGTGGGTTTAAAAATGTTATTATTTTCGCCACAACTAGTAATGCACCTGAAAGACCTATTATTATCAATATCTCTTGTTTACTACTATTCTTATCTTGTTTTTACATATTTATAAATATTTGTATGCTTAGAACTAGCAATAAAACAGCTTGAAAATCCGAGTTGTAATAATTTAAAGCGCATTGAAATAAGATGCCAGAACAATATGGAAACAATCGATAAATGTCGAGATAAATCTCTGCATTAAATTTATAGTCTATTGGCTATTGTGCTACAGACTAATATGCTATTTCAGGTGTCAGATTGTTGCCAAGAATGTCGTATTGTTCCACTGGCATGACCATGTCCTGTCGGACTCGTTAAGAAAATATTTTTATGCTATACTTTTTTCATTTGAATTAGTTCCATGTCGTTACTAACGTTAATTGCAGTGAAAAATGTCGTTTGAAAATTACAACACGCGCGTACGTCCGGCGATTAATTCCATTGTACATACATGGAAAATCCCGTGAAATATCAGGGTCATCGTTATAGGTGTACGTACAATCAGCAACACTTAGCTTAATAACAACTGCTTCCTCCATCTTGACAATTATAAAATAGAATTTTGTTAGCAACATAAAAATAAATTTGGCATCCGCGATGATTAATAATTTATTATGTCGTAACACTAATCTGCGGTGTTTATCAATTCTCTTTTTTATTACAGAAATAGCGGGACCTATGGAGCGTTCCAATCGAAGGATCCCATTCTGACGATAGAGAAGAACAGCGATACCATTAAGGGCGGAAATAATGAGCACGGTATCACTGTGCACCATCCCACCTCGTAAGTTTGATCGGCGTTAACCGAACAGCAAAATTTTACTAATCACAAACAGCGATCTAAAGCGCGTTAGGCATTGATAAAGATTGTTTATTAATGTCGATTAACAGAAGAGCACTTAGCGCGTCATGCACAAGCAATGAAAATGATATTACACACCTTAACGGTAAACATATCTAGAGAAACAAACAAATATTGCAACACGATAAGAGTGATATCAGCGACAAAAATGACACGTGATCGCGAAGCGTATGATTTGAAAAGACGGAAGCAAGAATTTTATCATCTCATTATTCGTTTACGATAGTCCGATAAAAATGTCTAATTCGCCGTATTTTCGTGTGAATCGTAACTACTTTTTTCCGTGAAGAATCACGTTTCGTCGAAATGTGACGTTGTTTTGACATTTGTCACCTGTCATATTTTTCTTAGCTGTAAAAATACATTGGCTGAGTCGCAAGAGAAAATTTGTTTTTTAACACTGCAAAGAATTTTCACGCAGCGAGACGTCAAACACATTTTTAGGACACACATAAATATGCATCAATTCGTATCAATCACATTCTTGTCATCTTATCATCATTAAGGATTGCAAATTGTATAAGCGCAGCTTAATCTTATTTTAAAATCATTGTCAGAAATATCAGTTCGATATACATGTATTTACTATCTGTACTGATATTTCTGCTTTGATATTTCATAATCACAACGTTATACATAATCGCAGATAGTAGAGCTATTCGTACTTTTTAATGCATTACGAAAGATATTGATAAATTATGAGAATTCACTAATTGTTATCACAAATTGCATATATTATATTTTTGAGAAACTAATTGGTTTTTAATTATTGGTATCTATATTCAAATTCCCCAAAATGGCAATCATATGCTTAATTTGATTCGTATGATTAAAATAATATAAAGAGACTAAAGAGATGAATTTAAATCTAACAATAAATGAGCGAAATCGAACAAAGTTGATTGCATCTCGAAAATGTCCATAAATCATACGCGCTTTACATGTTTCCTTCTTGGCATATTTTGAATGTTTACATACCAAACATTCATATTCCCCTTTTGATTCATGGCTATAATCGCTACAATGACCGGAATCCCACTTATATTCGATGATTTGTCTTGATTCACACTGCCATGTCGTATATATCGCGTCGAGTCGAGAATAAATCGAACGCACTAACAAACTGAAATTGGACAACTGCAGGTACCTGGAAACCATGATGCATCTGTTCAAGGGTAACGTCGGTTCGGGAATCTTTGCGCTGGGAGATGCTTTCAAGAATGCCGGATTGTTGTTGGCACCCCCGCTGACGATCTTCCTTGGTATCATTTGCGTGCATGCTCAACATATTCTCGTACGTGCAATTAATTAATAATAAGTATAATGCATAAATAAAATGAGAAATGATATATGACTGTCTTATCGGAGGAAAGTTAAATGTAAGAAAGTAATGATATCTTTGAAATATAACTCTGATGAGTTTACAGAAGCGCAATTTTGATATTAATATCTCTTGCAGATTAAATGCAATGAGGAGGTGACGCGTCGTGTTGGCGATGGCACCAACACGAGTGGATTCGCCGGTACTGTGGAGATGTGCTTCGCTACTGGTCCCATCGGATTTCGTAAATATTCGACTTTTATGAGGTGTGTGATAGGCGAAGTAGCGAAGCTTCGGAAAACGGAATAACAAGGAACACAAGCTCACGCAAATACATTATCGTTTTGATCCCTACTTACAGATGATCTGTACCTTTTCAGTCCACCTGATCGCGCCTATTTTTCAGTTTACCTCTTAAGCACTCTTTTAACACACACGCACACAGTCTTTTATTTCGTATAATTTTTTATTAGCGCGTCGTGCGAAAGATGCATGTTATTTATGTTGCTCTTTCGTGATTTTGTTGCAGAAAGTTGGTTAATGTGTTTTTGTGTGTCACGCAACTCGGATTCTGCTGCGTATATTTCGTTTTTATTTCCACGAATATGAAACAGGTAAGGCATCTTTCACCGACTTTATTTCAGCTTTTCGGATTTTAACGCTTTGTTCGCCGTTTCTTCCTATAAGAAAAATATGAGATTCCCCAAAAATTGCTTATGCAGATAACATTATTTTTTATTTAATAACACCTCTTTAGGAAAGATAGAAAACTGTATTATACACTTCAATCGAATTTTTGTATTTAGCAGTAAATAAAGATTTTTTAAATAAATGTTACAGTCTTGTTTTATTTTGCGCGGTAGGTGCTGGACGCACACGGGATCGAGATGGACGTTCACGAGCACATGGCCGTCGTGTTGGTTCCCATAATGCTTAGTACCTGGATCAGAAATCTCAAGTATCTAGTGCCGTTGTCCTCGATAGCGAATTTCCTAATGATCTCTGGTTACATCGCCACCATGTACATCATGAGTTCCGACGTGCCGTCCATACGCGAGAGAAGATACGTCGCGGATTGGAACAATATACCTCTGTTCTTCGGCACTGTGATATATTCCTTTGAGGGTATTACTCTAGTGAGTATACGTGTACATTTATGTTAATGTATAACAGCTTGTAAGTAAAAATGAAAATTGGCATTACAACGTACTTTTTATGTTTCGATAATGTACAGGTACTGCCACTGAAGAATGAAATGAGGAAACCTAGCAACTTCAACAAATCGCTTGGTGTTCTCAATGTGGGTATGGTGATAGTCGGCTCTATGTTCGTCGCAATGGGTTTCCTGTCTTATTTGAAATACGGTGATGAAATTGCCGGTTCGGTCACGCTCAATCTTGCACCAAAGGAAATGTAAGCAAGCTATTTCGTGTGAATACTTTTTACGATTTATCTTGTGTTAGCTTGATCGTCGAGCGATTATCTTGTAACATTTTCTTTTCTGTATTCCAAGGGTGGACGGAAAAGTCATCTACAATCAATTAAGGTTTTTACTTTTGCTGTGTCCTGTGATCAGTATTAACTTTCGCGAAAACTTAACGCAAATAACGCGTGCGCTTCGTGCATGTTTTAATTATTAATCATGCATAGAGCTGAATTGCATATGGTTTATTTTGTATTTAAGAAAGATGTAACAGGCGATCTTTTCTCGACTAATTGAATTTTTTTGCAGCTTGCCGCAATGCATCAAGACCGCCATCTCTTTGAGCATATTGCTTTCCTACGCGCTGCAGTTTTACGTCCCGATCGCGATAATGTGGCCCGGCATCGTTGACAAATTCGGTCCATTTAAATGGCCAGTGTTCGCGGAGATCATTTTCCGTTCCGTCATGTGCTTTGTTACATGTAAGTACAAACTAAGAAGAATTTTATTAAATTATATTATTTACATAATAAATTTATAACTTGTGATTTCTTCTCGACAAACCTCTTAAATTAAAATATTTATAACTATTTATAAATTATAAATATTTTTTATGATATTTTATATCTTTAAAACGAAATGTTTTATACATAAAATAAAAAAACTTAGACTTTTTTCCAAAGTTATGTCATAAGTTCTAAATTTATTAATGTCTTATCTTGTGGACTAAATAGCAGCTTTATTTATGGATATTATGATCTAATTGTAAGATTAATCGTATTTTTTTTTAGTTATTATGGCAGAGGCGGTACCAAAATTGGGGCTCTTTATATCCTTGGTTGGCGCGGTCAGTAGTACTGCTCTTGCTCTCGTATTTCCGCCGATCATCGAGATGATCGTCTACTGGCACAACACCAGTCTCGGCTTTTTCACGATTGCAAAAGACGTGATGATAGTGCTGATCGGAGTATTGGGTTTTGCCACTGGAACATACGAGAGCCTGACGTCAATCATCAAGTCGTTCAGCAGTTAAATTAAACGCGCTCCAGGCGGGTTCTGTGTACAAATTATTCTTAATTTCTCTCTCATGAATGCGCGCGCGCGCGTGCGAGTTTAATGGACCATGACACCTACGGTATTTTTCGCGCGCGGATCGTGCTACTCGCACACTTCCAAAATTCTGCATGCTCGTAGACGTCGGTCGTGTCTCGCTCACCGTCGACATTTAGCCATTTTAACATAACGATAATAATTTATGTGTGATATATCGATAGATGTAGTTGATAAGATGCAACGTAGGTTGTGGACACCCAGTGATTGTTAATAATAATCATTCAGACAACACAAGTCTCCTGCGCGAGTCTCGCGCTGTTTGGATTGTGCTTTATTTGTGCGATGAATTTACGCGAGTTAACTTGGGCTTTCACTCGTAATAATGAATTGAATTAGTACAGTAATCTATATGACGCAAAACGTGAAAATAAAAATACTTTGACCCCTTTCGCCATTGTGTACGTAGATTTTGCAGTAGCAATGCAGATTGACAAGTACGATTTTTAACTAGTACTTGTCATACATTCACATTAAGTGATTTAACTTAGCGAATTGTACGTGCTCTAATCGCCTAGAAATAGTACACGGATTGTTAACTAACGAGACTAGTCGATCATAGTATCCAGTAACTGAAACAATTATTATGGATTAAAAGAAAATATTTATATGCTAATTAAATTTTCGAAGAAAATCTTAAGCCTTGTGTTCACGATACTAAAAATCGATCTGAGATTTCAAACGGAGAGAGATTTGATCAATTAGCCGAATTGTTCAAATGCAATTAGCCAAGTCTCTTTTTATCCGAGAATTGAGACTAATTTCTAGCTTCGTAAACTTTAGAATAATTGACCATCTAATTAACATTTACAAATAAATAAATAAATAAAATTAATTAATAAATCTAAAAACAGTAAAATATTTGGTACTGCATGTTACTGCAAAGGAAACTACACGTCTCGAATATCAAGCAATTGTATTATTTTTTATTCAAAAAGATAAAATTTGTGACCATTTGCGACGAGGACATACTTTGTCTAAATGGCTTTGTTTGTAATTAAGCATTGTAATAGCGTAACTATATATTTATTTATGTACCTTAGAGTTAGTTTCACCAACATTTCGATTAAACATTACTTATAATCCCTTTTCTTGATCTATAGATTTAAAGAGGAAAAGATTTGAGAGAGAAAAAGAAAGAGAGTAGGTCGGTTAAAATAATATAGGTGAAACTAATTCTCTTCCACGTGATCGATATTTATAAGAATACGTTAACAAAAAGAGATTGTATATTGTATATCGTAGTTTTACTTTATTGTTAAACTTTTTATATATTCGTAGCGGCGCTTATGATACGAAACATAATGAACTGCAAACACAGAATCTTAAAAAAATGAATCATCGACTATGTACAATTTCGATACCCTATATCAACTGATGTAAAATTAATTTCCCCATACTATTTGGCGAGGATCCTTCGTAAATTTCCAAATCCTGTCTGTATATATTATACATACAGTTAATTTATTTATTATAAGTTATAACTATGTCGGCAAAAAAGAAACGATATCAATCGTTGAACGTGTCAAAATGTTTCTCATAGGAAAAGTCCAGATCTCTCAAACGAGATTGAAACGATTTTCCACCTCTACGTAAGTAATGTATATCTGTGCAGTATTAATGAAAGTTGGAACGAGGGAAATACTCATTAACGATAGGATGGTATATATGTGCATATCAATTGACAATAAGAGCAGTACAATGTTATCGCGCTTCGTATTGTCGAAGTACAAAACCCACTCAGGGAAATTTATATTAAAGTATATATTTTTTCCTTAATATATTTTAACAGCAGCGTGTATAAGACGTCTTTCTCTCAGCGAGACGCTGAGACTGATGGAAGAGAAAGAGATATCAATAAACATGTGGCACAACGAATTGTCTATTCATGTGTTCCATGTGTTTCCACATCGAATAATCTCGCAGATCTTTCTCGTTGCTTATCTGTGAAAATTGATACAATTATTTTTAATGTAAACGCGCTCCAAAATAATACGGAGTAACAGTTGGAAATAGTTGCGCAATATGTTTGGGGAATGTTTTGAAACGTGAATTACTGAGCTATTTTTTACAGCAAGGCCATGATTGAAGGTTGGGTTCTACATAGCGTGGTAAAAAGAATAATTTTTTTCTAAAGATAATAAAAACAATTTTCGATCAAAATGATAAGAGCAAATCTGAAATTTTTTTCAGACGAAATTGGCCAACTCAAGAATAAGTAAGTAGAATAGAATATATGTATAATATTCGTAACATGTACGTATTTTACATGTAGGATCATCTATGAAAGTGTCTAAAGATGAAAATACTTGTGAAAAATAATTGTCCTTATAAAAATTCTAAATCAAAAATTACAATTAAGTAATGAATTGCATTTATTTTCTAAGAATTGTCTTGGAACAATTTGCGCCTTAAAAACTGCGATAAATTTTTTTCTTTTTTTTTTCAAGTTTTTCCATATCTCTAAAATTTTGTAATCCAAATTTAAATAATATTTATTATATTTCTACGTTGAACATTTCTATAACATTAATTGAATTATAATTTAACATTTTTACTCAGTCGTGGATTTCATTTATGTTTTATACAAAAAACATTCGCAATTATAGATGTAATAAATAAAATCTGTTCAGATCTATTTAAAAATTTTTCAGATTTCGATTAGAATTGAAATACCCGTAAAATTACATCTCAACTTCCACAAGCTGAATTAAGCGTGGAACAAAGACTGATTGTCCATCAAACAATTAACAAATTGCAAGCTGCAAATTCAACGAATAACGCCGATAAAAATATGTGGAGCAGTTCGCGTGTTGCCAAACGTCCGATCAGGAAACCAAATTAAGAGCAAGAGTTGAAAATCGGAGCGTTCTTGGAACAAAAATGAAAATGTGATTTGTGCTAAAAAGTGCAAATACGGAAACAACTTCTGAGACCACTGGGAGAAAAAAATAGTTTGTTCAGATTCGAGGTGCGGAAGTGCTCCGTTCAACCGGAAGGAACAGCACATATATGCAAATAAGAGATTAAAAATTGTTATTAGCTCTTCCCGCGTTTTGTGTCAAAAATTATAAAAGTATTTGTACTTTTTGGCACAAATCACAGTTTATATTTCGCTCCAAGAATGCTCCGAATTTCATATCAAGAGCGAGTGCTCGCAAAGTATTGTGCAAGAAAGTCATTTCAAGTTTTCAAAGTGCGTGCTTTTAATTCGACGGCATACGACCGCCACGCGATGCAGTCGTTCCAATGTATTTCTTTTCAGCCGTTGGAAGTCAGGCACACGTTCTCATCCGTTCTAAGAGATTGCAAGTCACGAATGACAGATACAAGAAAATCAAAATGTATCTTCAGCATATTTATCTTCCTATAGCGTTACTATATTCACATTTGTAATATAAAGTTTGTAATATTAAAATCGTTTTGGAATTTTAATTTTCGAAATGTCAGAATACAATTTAACGAGAAGTGGAAGCAACCCGTTGATGATATCGAGACTCGAGGATCAGAAAAGACAGGAGGAACGAATGTAAGAGATGAAGAGGATACTATATAAGAGAAGCATTCAAGTGCGTTACTATTGCGAGAAGATGCTATTTTCGCTAAGCAGTTGTCGATAAGCGATATCAAGCTGTAGGCGGAAAGAGATGATATCGAGTTCTGATAGACAAATATCAAAACAGATGTTATTACAACATAATTTGTAATATCGGTTAAAGGAGGATGGTGGTAAATGTCGCAGCATGTTTTATACGATGTTCGTGCCGCACGAAACGTCAATCGCTGTAATTATATTATCAACGTCCGCTCACGTCACTTATTAGTATATACGTATATAGTTCTCAATTTTCTTACGTATAAATTATTAGTTCGTATAATACTAATAGCTGTTATATAACGAATAATTTTTTAAATATTTGCTTTAATGACAGACGTGTACCGTCTATATCAATCACGACATGAGTTTTTTTTATATGTACATTTATGTAATATTGTTAATTTACATTAACACGTGTAGATATTTAAAAATAGTAGAGATAATAATTGCTGTTTTGCTATGAAGAAGAAGGAATTGCAAAAAACTAGAGAGACTGAGGCGGAATCGCATTAGAGAAGCGGCGAAAATAATTGAGAAATATCACGCGATGGAAGCTACAAGCTACTCGCGAGGCTCTCAATTCAATGGTAAACGAGAAACGGAAAGACGTATCCAAGGCGTTTTCAAATATTAATGTACGAAAGATATCATGAAATCATTAAATTTGCGAAAGAGATTAATGAGAAATCCCGACAAATGAAGTTAACATTAACATGAGCGAAGAGATGAAGACGCTCAAAGAAAGATTCATTTAATTAAAAAAATCAAAGCGATTCAAACGTTGTAAACAAAATAAAAGAGCCTATGGAGTCGAATGATCTAGGACTTCTAAATAAATATCTTTAATTAAGATCCATTTAATATCAATTGGTTGTTATGCTAAAAAAATTTTATGTCTGATCGTGAGAGAAAATACAAACTCGAATTCTGCGCATTACAAAGAAAAGGAAGAATAGCTGTCTATAAAGATAAAGCGGAACGAGGAACTTAAACATCGAAATATCGTCGTTCGACGGGAACGCGAGAGAAAGAAAAACTTAATAAAAAATAATCAATGGCTTCTTGAACAGTACAAAGCTAGGTAACAGTTTTAATAAAAAATTAATCTCAAATTAAATGATGTCTTTATTTCTTCATGCAACTAACATATATGCAGACAAGCGACGTGTTCTTGATGGACGAACATATATTTATTACCCGATTATTTTCTGACATTGAATTCTTGCGAAAACTTTTTGAAGAACCGAAGAATAGAGTTGGGAATAATGAAAGATATTATCTATGATGATTGACGATGATCGAAAATAATATTTTATTATATAACTACCGATACAACTAATCGTATCGAGATGTATGCAATATAATTTTTATAAAAAATATTTCTTTTTCATTCTCTTGTTTCTTAATATAAAATTTTATAATACGTAAAATTAATTAATACATTGTTTTATAAATTAAATGAATATCTTTAGTCCGTTACTTATATTTACATGTAATACATACATTTACATGTAATACATTACATGTATAGTTTACATTTACATGTAATACATTACATGTATAGTTTCTACAAAACTTAGTCTATAAAATGAATTAATAACATAAATAATTAATTATACTAACAATAAACGAGTAAAAGATAAAGATTTTAAAAATTGTTAATGTAAATACGGTGTTATCGAATTAATAAGATATATATACACGCAAAGCGTCTCACCTCGTTTAAAATTATGACAAGCCTAATAGCATTTCTGACCAAAATATTTTAGATACATTTTGACTGAAGGGCATTTTATATTACAACAGTATTATCGAGAAGCAAATGTAGAAGTTAGTCGTGTAGTGTTTAATGTAATAAACAGTATTATTATACTTATTGTGGTCTTAATAATCATATATTAAACTATATATTAAGATATATTGGATACTCAGCATTATGAACTACAATAAAAATGAAATAAAAAATATACATCAATATATGAAAATATAAAAAGATCCATAAAATTTTTGATAAAAATATATATATGTATATATATATTACTTTAACATTATTGTATATTTTAAAAGACATATACCTTTTCAGATAAAAGACAAAGAATTAATAGACGAGAAGGATTAATTGTATAATTAATAATATCGAGTGTATCAATATGGGAAGTATAATTTTGGACAAGCTTACACACAGACCGGATTTCATTGGCCAGGTAAAATATGTAAATGATTTCAATAAAAGTTATTCTCCGCGAAGCACGAATATATAGAGGAAGCATTCATCAAATATTGAACTAATGTAATTTTCCTAAACGAGACATATTAGATTATGATAGAAATGAGATTGATACATCTCGTAGATCGATGAGACGGGAGAAATAAATACATTCGAGGAGATGAGAAAGAAGCGTAAAGTGCGCATTATGGTTGCAAAGATTGAATGTTAAATCCGGCGACATAATAACGATGTGCACAGACAATCAGATAGAGGCATACATACCGTATTTGGCGACACTGTATATTGGCGCTATTATAAATCCATGGCCCAAGCGGAAAAGAGGAATAAAATGTAAGTTTATTCTTTTTTTTCTAAATTTCCACATTGTTTATCATCGCGTTATGTATCTGTATGACACGCCCAATCTACAAAAAAATCGTTGTAGCGACTGCTGAACATTTTCTGACGCGGGTTACTCCGAAGGTAATCTTTGTTGATTACGATAACACAAAAATGATTTATGCTGCTGTGATTGAAATGAAGGTTTCTACAAAACTCGTGGTTTTCGGCCAGAACTGCGCGGAGTATGAGTCTATTGAATTTATTTTAAACAATAAATATGATTCAGTTGATATTGCCACATTCTCATGCGTACAGAAGAATATCAAAGACCCCGCAATAATACTCTTATCTAGCGGTACAACTGCTTTGTCAGAGATGTAGAATTTTCTTATAAATTTTTCCTAGCCTCGTCGAATCAGCACTTTCCCACTATGCATTCGAACGATATCGGTTTATGGTTCGAATCTTTGTACTGGGTTATCAGCTTGCTCTTGACTGTTCGTGCAATACTTACGAATGTAAGAGTTATCAAATCCTCGGGATTTATTGATAAACATCACTTATGAAAGAAAAAAGAGCTGACACAATTTATGGAAAGAAATTTTGATAATTAGAGGAAACTTCACTACATACACTTTCTTGAACAACTGCCACTTCCGATGAAAAAATCGATCGTAAAAATCTTTCTGAAATAGCAGCTTGTTTTACTGAACCTAATATGAAACATCATTTATAGAGATTATTATAATATTTTGTTTCCGTGCACTAATAAAATGTAAGTTTTAAAATTAGTTGAACTAATATCTAATCATGTAACATGTATCTTAGCAAAAACTTTCTTAGAAGTCTTTTAGTAAATTTTCAAAATTTGTCCGTAAATTTTTTAGAATTTCTCAAATAAATAATAAATAATAAATCAAATATATAATCTCAAAACTTTTTAAAAATTTCTCAGATTCTTTTATACGAATTGGAAGATTTTTTAGAAATACTGAAAAATCAACATCTTTTCTAGAATTCTTTATATATACTGCAGCTGCCAAAAATTTTCTGCCAATATGTAACTTTATTGTGTTGATGAAATTATTATATAGTATATTGTATTATGTATAAAAAAATTTTAATATTTTTAAGCTTAAATAATTTGAACAATAAAACTTACAATGTTGATACAATTAGGAATTTACTTACAACAGTATTTTTAAAAAGACATCGTAAAATTATATATTGGTCGGAAACATTTAGCAATCCATTTTATGTGAATTCTGAAAAAGTATTCTGATTTATCATTCTATAATTTCCGAAGAAAACTTATAGAATCTGAAAAAATTTTGGGTATTTTAAAAAAATTTCCATAAATACAAAAATATATTATAAAATATAAAAATTTTTTTGCCAGATTATAAAGATAAAATAGTAATAATTTCAAGAAATATTAATAATTCCGATATATATGTATTTGTAATAAAAAAACCTGATACATTTATTATCATATTTCGGCTGTACAAAATTAAATTAATTAATTTAATAAGATTTTATGTATATCATAAATATTAAATAACAAATAATACTTTTAATTAATATTTAACAATAAAAAACTCTACAAATATAGTGTACTAGATCAATATCGATAAGATATTCTGTATGCAAATGTGTAAATAAATACATAAAAATAGATAGATTAAATTATCATTTTATACAAGAAATCTGTTCTTTTTAACACAGTGTACAGCTACAAAGTTGTACTTGAACTGAAATATATATATGAAATAATAAATATATATTTGAAGTTTGACGAAAGCAAGATAGAAAATTTTAATGCAATCCAACACATCAGAAACGGGCCTGAGGTATTTTAATGTAATTAAGCACCTTTTATTAAACGAAAGAAATAGTAAATAAACTGTAAATTAAATTAAATTTAAGTGATTTATGTCAAATTTTATTATAAACATAATGACATGTTACATTATCTATGTTAAAGAATAGATACTCTTATTTTAATTTTTTATTAATGGATATATATCGCTATAATCAAAATTGTAGCATATTTCAAGACTAATGTAACATTTTATTAAACAAAATTTATTCATAATTTTCATACAAATCTTATCAATTCGAAGAGGCTTGTTTCTTAGACATAGTTGATGATTATTTTCTTTATCTTTTAGAGCAATCAAGCGACGTGATAAGCGGACACAATTTACACTCTTTATATTTTTGGTAATTTTGTTCTAACTTTTTTTTGAAAAAATGTGTAAACAAGAGAATTCATTATTTTCTGCATTTAAACAAGATTATAATAAAGACTTTGTCGTAAACAAAAGTTTATACTATTTCATAGTAAGTCATTTGAAACAGGAGAAATATGAAAAAACACGTAACACGGAATATGTATAGAAACATAGAAAAATATACGTTTCATGGAAATATGGAAAAACATGGAATCGAGAGTTGACGAATTTAAATTGCTTTATCTCACAAAGAATAAGCTGTTTTGAAAAAGTGCTTTCTGAATCAGCCAGAATCACTCGTTTGCATGCGAAATTGCTGCAATTCACAGTAATTACATCAAGGACGAATGTTCAATTGTTTACATGCAGTAAAAAAAGTTTATAATTAGACTGATAGCAGAGAATAAAACGTAAGTGCTTACGTCTGTCATAATCGTAGACGTAGAGTAAGGGGCTTTCTACAATAAGCCGTTAGTCACTACTCATATCATACTAACTAAGAATTGACCAATCGCAGTCAAATATTTTTCTTACATTCAACTGTGATTGGTCAATTCTTACGATTTACGGCTTACGATCTAACATACGACGTATTGTAGACAGCCCCTAAAGGTCCATCTACAATGAGAGTAGTAAATCGTAAGCAATTGATCAATTATAGTTGAATATAAGAAGAATAATCGACTATAATTGGTCAATTTCTTACGGCTTACTACTTACTAGTTACTCTTCTCATTGTAAACGGACCTTAAGGTAGAGAAAAATGTATACGTAATTTACATCTATACAACAGCCATTAATGTGCACTTCAGAAATACGTACACACATTTTTGTCTACCCTATTCTACATCTACAATAACTACGACAGACGTAAGCGCTTACGTTTTATTCTCTATTATCAGCTTTATCCTGAATAAAGTAACTATTTTAACCGTGAAACTTTGTAAGCTCTTTTTCTGAATTATAATTATTAAGAATGTAGATTTTTTTGACTCAATCGAATAACTCGCGTGACACAGCTAGGTAACCGGAAAAATTGTTAAAATTACTAGCCTTCTGAAAAACCAAGCATCCTGTGGCGGCGTGTAATTTTCAGACAAAATCTAGAATACATATACCGACAAGATTGCGAGGGAATTCTTGGACTAATAATTAATAACGTATCGATTCGTATATCCTCTAAATACACGAATCAATTGATTCACAATGTTTTTAAAATTTACTTTACTGCATTGAACATCGTGTATTCGTCATTTGTTTTCATAAAATATAAATTTGTTTAATAAAATTTGGGAATTCTAATAAATTTTTTTCTGACAATTTCTATTTATTCTCATATATATATATATATATATATATATATATATGTATATATGGTATATAAAACAAGATATTTATATTTAGTGCATGAAACTTTAATAAAAAATAGCCATTTAAATTTTAACGAATCATCACATTATGTAAAGCATATCGTTCGCGTGACTAAATTGCGGCGGTAATTGACTGAAATCACAGTTTACCTAAATTACGTAAGTAGTATTAATGTTGATCAAGCAATGAGATATTTGTTCTCATAATATGTAGATAATGTAGTACATTGCATTCTTAAATGATACACGCTGTCATCTCATTGTTAGTTGTCTACAAATCGATAAAGATTATCAAGGTCAATTCTTATCTTAAAGCCAGCTCAAATTTTTACGTATAATTCAAAGTCCGTGACTAGTGAAATCTTCTTTCTTCCTTTATATCTAACATAATTGCTAGGTATAAGATCGGCCTTGATGACATTAGCTTGGTAACATTTGTCTGAATAGATTCTTGGAATATTATAAAGTTTGACATAGATTTGTAACATTGAAACAAATTAGTGAAACGTATATAAATAATAACAGGGAAATAAATTTTTATTTTATTTTATGTATCCTTTTACATAATTCAAATTATATTGTATGCTTCAAATTAACTATATTTAACTACCAATTAATTGTTATGCTAAATTTTAATTAATATAATAAGATTTAACCAAATATTTCAGATATCTGATCACATCAGACAGATCTGTTTGATGAATTAACGGACGATTCATATCACAATTGAATGTCTGTTATATGTATTTTATTCATGACTGTAACACTTCATCATTCGTGTACCTAGTTATGTAGGTATAATTGCATTAATATTGTGAAACTAAAAAGAACATAGAAATAAATTTTTTTTATTTTAGAAAATACAAATAATTTTTTGAAAAAATTTTTGATTATATTCTGTATTCTGATTTGCAACGACTAAAAAACTTTAATTTTTAATTTTTATATTTAGTCTACAAATTTTATTACAATAAAATTTTTATTTTCTAGATTATAAAAACTAGGCTATATAAATTTTTATTGAAATTTTCAAGAATCATGCTTTAGAAGTATAAGTAATTCAATTTTGATTATATTTTTAATTAAAATCAATAAAATTTTAATTTTACAATATTTAGAAAGAAAAATATATAAATTATATAATTACGAAAATTTTTAAAATGAAAAATGACTTGTAAGGTTTTGTTAAATTATGAAATGAAAAATACATAAGATCCATAAATAAATAAATAAATACGTAAGATACATAACATTAGAAACTCATTCCGTTATCGATTTCAGCAATTTACTTCATGTCATATACTAAGATAATATCAGGAGGACAAATAACAACGGCATTACTTTTGTACTATAAGAACAATGGCTTCACAAAATTTATGATTTGCACAGTTATACAGCGCACATGTCAATTGTACAGTTTAGAGAGAGGGATATGTAGAACTATACATGTAATAGGTGGTCAGTAAATGAGTCAACTTTTATCGGCGTTCGTATATGCTTCGCTCTACACTTGTCTAGTGCATGTTCCTCGGAAAGGATCTTCACATAGTGGAAAAACTCTTCCGTCTTTCAGATACGGAATCTTTCTTTTTATTGCAACCGACTTTATCGATTTTTGTTTTCAAGTATTTCTTCCTGGATACACCTGGATACATTATTTTGACTAAATTGCAATTGAAGGTATTATATATAATACTTTATAATTAAATTGTTTGCATGTACGTTATAGACCTGTCACTCTATCACGCCGTATATCTGTATTATTTTTATATTACTATTTAGAATAATTTATTTCTTTTGATAGCCACCTGTAATGATTTTTTTAATAGCTGTTTTTTATGGCAACCAAATATTCAGACAGTGTTCCAAAATTCACTACAGGTGCTGAAAATCTATAGTGCACGTAAACTATTCATTTTCAGTGCTGGTAGTGAATTTTGGAACATAGCCAGAATACTTCAATTTTCTCAGAAATACCTACCTACTTGCAGTATTTTTCTTTTTATATAGGTACATTGGCCGTATTTCATTCACTGAAAATCTATAGCTCACGTTACGTATATTATACATTTTCAGCACTATATTATATGTTTATCGGAACACAACCAATATATGTACATAACTAATACACCAAATATTATGATTATGACTTACGATATTCACTGTCAGTGCACGTGACGTGTGCTATAAATTTTTCGCATTGACTGTGAATATCTAAACGTAGCGTTATAATAATTTCCTTTAGTGCCGATCTCTTTAGCGCGTTCTTATACTAGCGCGAAATAGAGTTTAGTAGAACAAGTTCAAAAGAAAGTAACCTTGATTTATTTTCAGTATTATAATAATGATATGGTGGACTTTCTAATTTTCGAACATTTATATGCGAAATAATTAACTAAATAAACGTAAAAAAATAATTCTTACAGTTGCTACATATTTGATGTAATAGCAGTTAAACTTTACTAACTGATTATTTATCGCAAAATCTATTCCATATAATATTACATAATATTTACTTCATGTATAAATAGCGAAATCTATTGATTTATGTTGAAGAAAATGACTTATGAAATACATATGTTATGAAATATTAGATAAAATATTTCATAAGTTCTCGGGATTTTTTTAGATAATTTTCTTTATTTACAATAATTAAATGAAACTTCTTATTCCTTCGTGGGACTAGTTGTTATCGTATTGGAGTATGATGTTACTAAGAAATAAGAGTTGTCCTTTAATGAAATATTTCATTTTTTAATAAAATAAAACAATTGTATAATAATGTTTATTTATTAATTTCTTACTATCGCACATTCATACGCTAATTTTCTTACTTTTTGCGGTAAAAGACCAAAATAGATCGAGGAGCATTTCAAAAGATATTCTGTCATAACTTTTTCTTGTTCTTCATTAAAAATTAACGTCACTTTCTTGATAATGAAATATGCAGTGTCGAATATATTTTTTTTAATTTTCATTTGGAGTCAAATTAAAAATATATTTTGTTAGCAACTATAAGCTATCATAAATATATTTGAATGCAGGTTGGACAACATTATAAATAGAGGTGTGCGAATGAATCATTTGTATGGTCGAATCGAATCTAATCGAATTTTTGATAACATGTTTAAAATCGAATCGAATCGAATCTGAATCAAATTTTCCCAGATTTACATTACATGTTAATTTAAACGTAATAAATATCAAAATTTATAATTTACATTATTTTACTCAATGATTTAAACAAACTGAAGACTAGTTTTTGATTTACATCTAATTTCAAAAAAAGATCATAATCTTATGTGATATTTTGAACTAGAAAATATGTAATTAATAATATGTATATACATGAATAGTTAGAATGCTTTCGAATATTTTATTAATCTATATAGATATGTTACATACATTAAAAATACTTATTTATTAGATAAGAATAATTGGTCGCGCGGGAGATATAAATGAAGCAAATAAAATAGGCTATTGATTCGAAATCGAATCACTGTTGATTCGAAATTCTCGAACTATTCGATTTCGAATCTTACAGATTTGAAAATGAACTCGAATCGAATCCATTGTGAATACATATCTAGTTACTCCTAGTTACTTTGGGAAGACATTATAATGACGCCTAGTGTACCAAGATTTTCTAATTAGAAATATTCTATTGTTGCAATATAAACAAATAAAATTAATATTTTTGAAAAGTTTTATTTGTTCTATGCATATATAATAATTCAAATCAAATTTGATGTAATAAATCTTTTTATTTTTTCTTCTTTTCGATTTCCATTCACTTTGTGCATAACCATGCATGAAACTTATTTATGATGCAGTGATATTCTTTCAAACCTATACTCAGTGACTGATCGGCCACATTCATCAGACTTCTATTTTGACGAAATGGTTGCGGATAAGGTAAATACAAAATCATATGATTTTTTTTATACAATATTTAAAATCTTGTTGTCAATACCTGTTCTTTTAGCTAGCAGTCATTATAACAATGATACTTCATAGTATTTAAAATCGGTTGTCAAAACCTGTTTTTTTAATTCGGTGCAGATCCATTAAAATCTTTAAAATACTTAAGAATAAAAAAATATTACGTCGGCTTTATAGTGCTATGTGCTCACAGTGCAAAACATTTTTCTATTAATGCAATAAAAATTTGGCGCATTAATAGAAAAGTGAAAAATTATTGACTAAAAAATTAACTCTGCAGTGGCACACATATTTTCAGTACCTGAAAGTGGCACACATATTTTCAATACCTGAAAGTGGCACACATGTGTCATTTGTGTCCAATCTAATTTTGAGGTTTCTAAAGTGCACAAAAAATTCTGTTAAAATTCATACATATTCTTTGTAGTTTCTACTAAATTATTTTGTTATGTAAACATTGGAAAAAAAGTTTTGGAAAAATTATAAAAATTACTTTCTGCATTATAAATAAGAACCGTTAGAAATGACATGGACACGAATAATCCATATATGCCACTACAGGATTAAAATAAAAATTAATATGCTATTTACAGAATTTTACTGTGGAAAATGGCGTTTATAAAGGACAAGAGACGTATCAATCGAATAAGTACAAAAGCCTCGGAGAATTAATGTGGATTAGCATTAAAAACCATGCGGACAAAATCGCACATGTGAGTCAACGTTTGCATGTAATGTTAATACTTAAGATTGTGCAAAAAGAAAGAATGAATTTTTTAAATTTATAATATTTAATTAAACAAGAAAAAAAGGTTTAATAAAAATATAGAAATAAAAATAAAATATCATAAAATTTTACTTTTTAAAAGTGAATCAGTGGAATCACATTGATTTTTAGTGTATTTTATTTTTCAGTGGCATACTTAGAACTGTGATAAATAGTGAGCACTTTAATGTTCAGTGATAATATATTGATTTAAACAGTGATTCTCATTGAAAGATAGTGAAACAGTTCTTAAAACTGTTTGACAGTAAAACTCACTATCTTTCAGTGTTATTCATTATTTGAATTAGTATATTATCACTGAAATAACACATTGAAATAATCACTGTTAATCACAATTTTAAGGATACCACTAGAAAATAATATACATTGAAAATCAGTAACGATTCCATGATTTACTTTTAGAGAGGAGAAGAATTAGAAAAAATTATTAACGACGAAAACATTTATCCATTACAAAAAGAATTCATCGTGGTTGTTTCTCAATTAACTTGTTTATATAAATTACATAAAATTAAATTACATAGAATTTGTTTTATCAAAGATGTGAAATAAACAGGTAGTGCTGAAAGAAATTGCTTGTGTGTAATAGAAGACATTGCATATTAGTATTTTAATAAATGTAGAGTAGAACAATGAAAAACATTCTTGAAAAAGTTGTTAAAATATATTAATGTGGTTCATACTGGTGATAATATGTGTTTTCTATCATGCACGTGATGACGTTTTCCTTTGTTCGTTAAGAAACAGCTTACTAAATGTAAATATCTTACGTAATATCTTATCGTAATATATGATTGCAAATAGATAGGAGACAGTTAATTAGATATAAGGGCAGACATATTACGACCAAGCTTTATTTAACAATTGTGAAATAATTGTGGAATCAATTCTTATACATGTAACAACTCAATTATTACATTTTAATATAGTTGACTATATTAAAATGTAATACATATAATGAAATTTTCCCATTCTCGATCTTATTACGGAAGAAAATCACGGCGAAAGTAATACTTTGAGATTATTTTGGCAAGTTCTTCGCGTTATATTAATAGGTGTCAATTAATAGGTGTTTCTAAAAAGAGAGAATAATTTGCAAAAAACTAAAACAAAAATTAAATAATGTTCTTAGAAACTGATTACATATAATTATATAATCACATTATATTACATATAATTTTGTTTAAATTAATTTTATCACTCTCTAAATCTGAATTAGTGGATAATAGTCAGATTATCAATGGTTATTTATTGAATGCATCAGTCCAAAGCCACTGGTAATCATAGTGATATTCAATTTCATTGACTCTCGGAAATCACTAATAAATAAGTGAATAATCGCTATAATTGTTGACAAATCAGTGGACTTCGCTGTTCTCGCTAATTGCACAACAGATTTGGCTCTGTTTTACTTATTTATTTGTAAGGCATTAGGTTTATTTAGATTATAGTTACTGATTCAATCAGTGATTTTTCAGTAATTTTCCATTAATTCAGATTTAGAGAGCATATTATTAACCAAAGTTAAGGCGTATAATTTAATTGCATATTTTGAATCTAATCTTAATTTACTTTAATTATATATATATACAGGTATATACAGGTATACAGGTACCTGTATAATCTATTATTTCTAATTTTATAATATTTATTGTACAAACAGATGTCAATATTAAAAATAAATATAAATTTGCAGCTTGTTTTAACATTCAATCTTGGCGTATAACAAGCGTATCTTTTTAAAAAATTATATAAACTATTTTAGTAGATATTTTAATTGCAAAATTAATGATTCTGCAATACAATTTTTGAAATATTTTATTTTGATATTTTATATAGTAATAATAATATTATTAATATTTACTTACAGTTAGACGCGCGTACTGATGAGACATTTACATACGCGGTGCTGCAAGATAAAGCTGTGAGATTCGCAGTGTGGCTGCAAAAACAAGGAATTAAAGAAGGTGACGTCATTAGTGTGTGCACGAGTAATCATCCCAATTCTATCGTGCCCTGTGTTGCAGCGACTTATGTCAATGCGATCTTCAATCCGTGGAACGAGGCCATGGATCTACGTAAGCTCTTGTGATATAATCGCTATGAAATATACATTCTTACATATTGCATTCGATTAGACTAATGATTTTATCGTGCATTTACGTTAATAATGCGCGCAACGTACAATTTTATCTATCTTGCGATAATTACATAATTACATAATTGCATAATTACATCACCCAAAAAAAAATATTCTAGTTATAAAGTGAAATTTCCTCTAAGAGAAGACGCAGTAAGACTGCGTTCTGTTATTCATCGTACATACTGAAAAACTACAGTACAAATAATGTACATTATAAATATAGATTTACAGTACAAGATTTGTATTGTAAATGCAAGACGAAATTATTCTAACTATTAGAATATTGTGCACAGAAGATCGGAAGAGCACACGTCT